TGAATTCGGCGTAAGTTGTTTGTTTTTTCGTCTTTTCTTGTCCAGCAAAAGTTTGACTGTGCCTGAAGTTGAAAAGGAGCACTAAATAAAATCGACTCTACCAATATTGTAACGGTAAACGGTAATAGCGCACAAAAGATTCTTGGAAATTTTTTCAAATGTATGCGTTATTAATTTTTTAATTTCCGTGTTACTCTCTTGATATTCTTGATCATGATAAGTTAGCAAAAAATTCGGTTTCAACATTACATTATAGGTAGATAACTGGAAGAACACTGGTTGGAAGTTCCAGATCGTCGCGTCGATCGTCATTGCTCGGCTTACTTCCTGTGTTTCACCCTCCCCCCGCATTTTTCTCTCTCTTTTTTATGTTTCCTCCCCTTCGAACTGACCCCTAATGACGTCATCATCATCCAATCACATCTCTCTATTTCTATCCGCAAGCGTGGTACATGTTACAGCGTGCAACACACAGCAGAGCAGAGCAGAGCAGCAGCAGCAGCGGCGGCGGTGTGACGCGACGAAAACTCGTCCCCTCCTACTCTCGACCTCCTGCTGCGCGTGCTCGACCGCAGTCCGCCGCGGCTACAGCTGTTGCTGCATTCCGCTACGCTACTGCTGTAAATGCTCTACGTTGTAACACTCCGACAGGCCATTAGCCCCCACCAGGCTCGGCGCATTTTGCAACGAATGTCCGAGTTTTTGCGAAGCGATGGACAACTTATCGAGAATCGCAGCGATCAACATCGATCATGGCGTCGAAGTGTCTAGAAGGGTTTCAAACGATATCGGTGGAAAAGGGAATTTCCGCTGGAGGTGAGATTGTTGCAGTTTTTGATTCATCACTCCTTTTATGTTGAATAAAAATCATTCTAGGAGAGATCTAGTTCATACATTTTCTGGCTTCTTTCTGGCGTTTTTAAAGTTTATGTTGGATTCAGCTCACTGCAGCTCATACAAAGAGCAGAACCCCCCCCCCCCTCCCGCCCTCAACATATCATGAGAAGTTCAAGGAGTTCTGGAGCTCTTTTTCCTGATAGCAAATGTTCTGCACAGGTACAAGACATTACACCCCTATCAGGCTCCGCCCACGCGGACCCCGCCACAGATCGTAACGGTCATTGATGCATAATTTGTACCAGTAGTCCGCACCGATCTCTTACCCCATCATACTTTCTTGGTAGCGAAAATCATACCGTACACAGCGGGACGGTTCTTCAATGTATATAATTTTTTTTTGATCCGACAGTTAAGAAAATTCAAGAAAAAACGTGTTTCATTTCAAGATTTGGACGTGTTTTCATTTTTCAAATTCTATTTGTAAACGGCGTCTCTGGGACAAATATTGATGCTATAGCGCGATAGTTGTATTTTACTAACTTTTTTCAAATAATTTGATATTATCGAGAATCAAGAGCATGTAAGCAATTCCCAAATTGTTTTGTTCTACAATTGAAAAAATTTAGCTCACTATTTATTTTCTTTAATTTCCAAGGACTCAATTCTTTCGCTAATTTTTTGCACGCGAGTGGCTCAACTTATTCATTTATTTACACATCTATTTGCTTTCATTTGCTTTCTCAAACCTTAGATTTCATTGCTTTTTCAAACTCAAACATAAAAATAAATACTCCAATTTCCGATCGTTTGCGCATACTCAGTCCAAAAATAGAGCACCGCAACCAACAGTGCGTTTTTCTCGTCGGCCGACATAAAGATCTATCGACAGGATAGTTCCAATTTTAGTGAGTTATCGTTGGTGGTTGCGATGATTTGAAGCGACACATTATTATTGGCCTGCATTTCCCGAAGACCTCATTCTTTCAATGATTGACCCGGCCCGGGGTTTCATTCTATCTTCCTCAACAATCTTTGTGTGTCCACCCTATTGTCGGAAATTGGGCCCCCTTCTAATCGGCGATAGATTTATTAGTGCGTCCTTATTGAACTTCATCATTTAATAATATCCAAGTATCCGGGAATCATCATGAATGTATTATAAGGAAAAGTTGTTGAATTTATTCCACCTGATAATCTTATCATTATATGAAGAGTGTAGAATTTCAGAAAACTATTATTTATTTACCATTATTTATCAGCTGTTGTGCATTTTTCCCTACGATTTTACAATTTCTCAACTATTTATTAATAATAATAATAATAATAATAATAATAATAATAACAGATCAGCTACATCCGTCAAAAATCAATAATGCACTTGTTAAGCCAAGTTTTCGTGACATAAACACGTTTTATAAACTTTAACTTGGCAGAAGTCACGCTCTGTTGACAATGTGTGACTCAACGATAACCGCACGAAATTCAAACTGAAGGCAAATTCGGCCTTCCTTGATATCGAATGCAACATAATTCAAGATGGTTTCAACTGGCAGTGGTTGCTATATAAAAAGAGACTTTTAGAGTATTTGAAACAAGGAACTTTTGGTTCACTAATGTGTATTTAATAAAAATTTTTGAAACAGGAATTTCTTTCAAAAATTTGAATTTAATCGAGAAAAGCTGCTATTTCTTTTCAATCAGATCTTTCATCACGCAATTCTTTTCCCTTTTCAGGAATTTTCCCGAAAACGTATTAATTTTGTATCCTAACTTCCAGATTATGTGGGGCATTTGACTTGAGTTTGGAAAAATCCTATATCCTTCAGTGGACTTTTTACGCAGCCCGATCAATAAGATTCAATGGATTTCATCTAATGATTCAACATTGGAAAGAGGAAAAATCTCATTCGTCTAGATTCTCCCGCCTAAATTAGCTGCTATTTACTTTTTCTCAAATCTTTCCATCGTTGCAATTCTTTTCCCTTCTCGCTCTGTTTTCTCCCACTTCACATTATTCCATGTTCTGCAATGCTGGTCGAAATGCAGCAGATTGTTTTTGAGAGGCATGGACGGGTTCTGTTGTTCGGTTCGTGAATTCCATACCATCATGTATGGGTTGATGATTAATGCCTGGCTGTATGTATGGGGAAAGAGTGGAATCATTGGAAATTGCATTTCCAGTTTATAGGTACTATGCGATGGATAGATATCGATTCTTTTCCAGGAGAACTGCCCCAACGGTGAGTTTTGTATATTTTCCTTTGCTTTTTCAACCTCAGACTCGTCTCTGTTCAAAAATTGCTCACATATGGCCGCCAGCCGAGTCCCCCCGACCACGGCTCGCTACACTCCTTCCCCCCCCTTCCGTATTGCTCATTATTCGTTCGATATCGATTTCTCCCCCTCTCAGCTTCAACCTCCTCCTCCTCCTCTTCGATCTGTTTCCAACTTCGTGCTTCTTTGCATGCCCATACTGTACTATGATATGGAATGTAAAGAAGTATGTAGTTTGATCAGTCATACAGAGGAAATTCATCTTTTGTCTTATCATCCACTTTTTCATCCTCTTCTTTCCTCTTCTTTAACTTGCAGAAAGCTTGTTGATTTTTTGAGGATTTTTTTTTGTTCTGTTTCTTTCCCAATCCGCTCATTCTCTGAAATTTCATAATAAGTTTGAAATAGAAGAGGTCTGTAAAGGTTGCAAGAATGCGTACATGTGAGACATTTGAAAATTCCCTTTAAAATGTCAAAGAAAATTTTACATGTCATATTTTTTGTTACATATAACAGTTTTGATTCCATCAAACAATCATACTCATATTCCAAATAAAATTGGAATTTTAAAGAAAAATCATAAAGCATTAGCATTTGTCTAGACACTCAAACAAAAAATTCTGAAAAATTTACTTCAGAATGTTTGAAAAACCTCAAAATGTATTGTATATTTTTTGTTATGCACAGTGTTTGATTTGATAACCATTTATTACATACATAATTTGATAAAGATGAAGAAAAATATTTAAAATAAGCAATCAGCACTAATTTACTCTCTAGGAAGTATAACATAAAACCACAATTGATCAAACAAGATCCCATCAGCATTATCAATATTTCTTGCTTTGCAGAATCACGCAAACGATTTCCTTTTGCAAATAATTGAGTTGAAACTTGAAAATTCTTGAACGTTCTATTTACCTTCTACAAAAAACAGTTTGGTGAGTTGTCGCGGTTGGCTCAGAAATGCAGCGAGTCTGAATAAACGCTATGATCCTTTGCTAGAGAAAAATTTTTCGCTTTTCTATTCCTCGATTCTTCCCATCCTCTCCATTGGAGAAAAATCTGTGGAACTACTATTGATTTCTAGACCTGCACCGTGTGTAAATAATGTTTTTTCAAAACTCCAATGTCGAGTGAAATGTATGTTGGAGATGCTGCGAAAAGGCGTTCTGCGCCACCTTAGATGACTTCTAAATAGAAGTTCGTTTTCTGTAGATACATTTGTTATGTGCTTAGACTTCTTTTTGGCTGTAATGTAACCGATAGACCACTTAAAGGCAACGTCCAGGCAAAATCTGTGCCTCCTCGACTAGAATCTAGTCTACAAGAAGGCCCTATAAGTAAGGACATCTGCGTTAGTTCGGTCCTCAAATGTCACTTCTAATCGGAAAAAAATGGACTTAGAATCCGCAAAAGTGTTATCAAGCCACCCTTTCAAGCTCCGCCCACACAAGTACTAAAAGTCGTCTATGCCTTCATGATAAGGCTCCCAGATATGGAGGTTTTGAGATTTTTGCACATTTCATACTTAAATCTGTTACCAGAGCTATGGAAAAGTCCCCAGAATGACAAGAACATGTAAGACGATCCGGATGGTGCCTCTAAAATGTTTATTGCATAAAAGCTCGCATTTAGGTTGAGTAGAACTCTGATTCTCTCAAAGAACTCTCATTTCAGCATACTTGGAAAAAATAATTGAATGTAATCGAGTTTTATGACCTTTGAACTTGCACCCGAATTCGTTAATAACCTAGACCTGTCTCTGCCATTGAATTGGGCAATTATGTTTATTACTTACAATTATCAGAAAAAGCAAACAGCTAGACTTGCCATGCTCTAGTCTGTTTTCAACATTCTAACACTCTTATAACATTACGACCCACCAATCATAGGTTTTCTGAAGTTTCACACGTCCATCTTTAACGTCCGCATCCTGGATTTGTAATCTCAAAACGCAGGAGAGTGACCGATTGCTATCGCCTACATCACTTTGGGGTGAATAGTACCTAAAAAGGAAAGAAAACATTGAAAAAACATCGAAAACACCTGCCTAATGTGTTGCCTCCTCGAACAATCCAGAATGGGAGCGCCAAAGGTGGACGGTGTGTGCAATGTCACAAATGATCATACGAAATGATTCGACTGTACCCACTCAACGATGTTACTTCATAGGATGGCCTTGCTTGAGACGTCATCTGTTATATACTGCACGATGATATTACGGTAGGTTTACCGTAGAGAAAAAAGATTCGTTAGCTCATTTATGTCAGAAAATGATTTCATTTTCTAGGTAAGTTAAGTGCAGATAAACAGGGGTTACGGCACGGAGAAGAAACTCATGTCGGCACGTTCAAAAACTATCGTTTTATAGACCATGTTTTTTTTAATTCGAAATCTCTCAATATAGTTTTCTCAGCATGCTGCACCATTAACTCAATTTATGCTCCTATCGTACTACCATCGTCCCATTGTAAGGCCTCAAAGGGACAAATGGAAGTCATATTCGTGATCGGCGCAGAGTAAACCCCGAACACAAATTTTTTGAAACCTTGTGAATTTTGACCCTGTACTGATTGACCTCGCAACTTACCGAATAACGTTAAAAATTGAACGTTGTTTTTCATGATTAGCATTGACGACGATCGCAGCAAACTTACCACTACATCCCGTAATTTAAAAAAACAATACCAAACTTCGTGTTGCAAATTACGCCCTGCAAAATAGTAAAAATTGAAAAAAAAAGGAACGGTCTGAGCGTGAATATGTTAATGGAGGAAAGAAGGACAAAGCTTGGACAATCAATTTGTTCCTCTCTCGCTGGTGCTGAGCTAGTCTTGTTCCTTCTAGATGAACAACCTGTCTCGATCCAATTCACAGCCACCGCCCATTTTTTCGTAGTTTATTCAACTGCTCCAAGTGTAGATAATATTAAAGAATTCAAAAATTCGTTTGCCAGGACTGCAATCAGAGTTGCCCGTGTGCCAGAGCTGTGTCACCGCCGTGCCAACACAACGCTAGCGCCGAATTGGAACGCTTTTGTTCAACAGAAGCGGTTTATAAAATAGGTTGAATAAAAAACAAACTACAAAAAGATTTGCAGGGCTTACTTCAAAACATTGACATCCATATAAACTCCCTCTTGCGAAACACTTGAGAATTGGCACTGTTTGACGATGAGAATGATAGGTATTTCTATTCTCCCATTTTATCGACTCATTTTATAGCATATAGAATGAAGGCACAAAGCACTTCAAACAATAATCGTAAAGCTTTTCTTCCTCTTTCTACCGGCTATGCTTTCGTTTTGGTCACTCTTATCTTCACTTAGATAGTCGCTAAAATTTCAAAACTATGGTCTCTACCGTGTCCAATGTCACCAATTTTTCGAAAAATTCGTTTTGGACTTTTGAAATAAAGCTAATAAAAAATAAAAAATATAATCAAAAATAAATAAAAAAATAATAAAATTAAAACGGATAATAAAAAATGGTGCAACACACTTATCTTTTGGGCACTTCCAAAAGCTTTTTAATAATTTTCATGATAATCTCTTTGAAAGAAGAAATCTCTCTGAAAGAATGACAATCTTTTGCAAAGCCTTGTCATAAACCAACTCGTTCAAAACTAGAAATTCAGGTTTTGAAAATTCCAAAACCTTATTTTCATTTAGCACCAACTTTTCAAGGCTAGTGACAGTTTGTCGCTTTGTAATAACACACCTCAAAGACTCGGGTGCAGCTCAGGTGGATCTAGAATAAATATTATAATACTTTGATCAGGGAAGAATTTGGGAACGTGGAAGAGGAAACAGCATATCAGAAAGATCGGAAAAATCTGCATCGAATGATGCCTGAATTGCTTACCTCACATTTTTGCTAGCTATAAATTGACCAAATATGTGATTTGATCAACTTAAAAAATTATAGGATGTCCCAAAAGTTTTGTTCGTTTTCTTTCATCGCTCACTAAAACTCACAGAACACCAATCCATGTACGACGTAGATACCATTTGATTCAAATTTTCCTCCTCTTTCTTGCTCTACTTTTGCTCTCTGATCTACCATATCTTTCCAAAGTTATCGCCATGGCTTTTTGAGCAGCTCAGCAGTGACGCCATATCTTTATTTTCAAAGAGCTCCGATGAGTGTTATGTAGAGTAAACCTTCTGCTAAACCGAGGCTTTTTGATTACGTTTATTTCCACGTAAAAGTACCGAGAATTCCAAAAAGCTGCTTTTTCAAAGCAATTTAAACTTGGTTATGTTGCATAATAATATTCAATAAGATTCACGTTTCAATTCGAAAAAACTTTAAAAGTTTCGTGTATTTGCTGCAGTTGCGCGTTTCATGACTTTGCCAAAAATCGGGACTCCGAAGAAATAATTTTCTGAAGCCAAAAACAGCAGATTGGGAGAATCTAAAAGTAATACTTGTGGTTTGAGAATTTGATCCATACTTAACTTTTTTAAAAATTAGCTTAATTTTGAGCAATTAAGATTGACGGAGGAGAAATTTGGCAATTATCCAAAAAGCTTACAAGTTTGTGTATGTAATATATAAAATGTATCCATAAGAAAGAGAAGGAAAAGCTGCATCGAATGCATGTTGATACTCATTCAGGTTTTTATCGTGCGGGGTTTTATAGTGGTTCGAAAAAACGGACAAAACTTTTGGGACAACCTAATATTAAGCAACTCCAATAAGCCAGTTAGAAATTTCCATTAAAAATCCATTACACCTTGTTTACTATATCCATTATATCCATTCGTAATAAGTTCCTCCGAAAGAGTGGAATAAAAATTTGAAAATGTTAAATTTGGGCATGGTAGAGAACATGCGTTCAAAATTTCGACAAATATCATAGTGACCACAAGCAGACTTTTGAGATTTCTATAATTCAATAAGCCTTAAAAAATTTGTTTTCAGGGGCGTGGCAGTAGCCACGCCTACTTTCTCTGAACTTTGTGGCTATGAGCCCACGAAAATTTTGGGAGGCATGCCAAAATTTCTTCGGAGTGCATGGCTATGCCACGCACCTTCACTCGAAAAATTTTTTCGTCGCCCCTGCCCCTCCCTTCCGGACGGAAATGCTGGGTCCGCCACTGACCACATGAGTAACAACACAGTAACATGCCTGCTAGAGAGGGAAAGAATAGCTGTTGAATAGTCTTTAGAGCGTTTGCCTTCTTTTGCCTGTTTTCATAAAAGGGTCTTTTTGTTTTCATGAAAGTACGAAAAGAACTTTCGGAACGACTTAATATGCCGGATTTTTACTTGGTCTTCTTTCTTTTCAGCTAGAATCAACGAAAAAAGCACGATTCGAAAAATTTCTTTGATATCAACCATTGCTAGATTAGTGTTTCGAAGCAGTTACTATTGAAATGTCAGAAACAAAGTTTTGAACATTTGTCATAAAATTCAATAGTGCAACACACAAAACATTTTCATTCGTCTCTCAGAAATCAGTGGAAACAGTTCAATGTGTCATATGGCAACTTTGTTCCGGGTGCATAGTTGAACAAAAGAATTCAATTGCCCAGTTTTTCCTGATGTTAAGTCCTAACTGCGGAGTAGGCGGAGAACTGCCAACTTATTCGTGGACGTTTTTGATAACGAGAAATACAAAAATCAGTGCTTTGTGTACAAACGTCATTATAGCACTTTTATCCACGCTAGCAATTTTGCAATTATTTCGCTTGCTTTGTAACTATCATCTACAGGGCTCCTACATTGCAGAGTCGTTTGCAGCAGCGGTCGCGCGACCGCGTCGCGCCCGGGCATCAATGGCGCCGCCTCGATCGATGGCGCCGGCGCCGGCAAAATGCCCTGGCGCGACGCGGTCGCGCGACCGCTGGTGCAAACGACTCTGCAATTTAGGAGCCCTGTATATAGTTGTGGCGTCACTAAATTTTGAAGATTTTCTTTTATTATCGTCGTCAGCTTATCTGACAGTCCCCACGCCAACTGGGCGGCTTCCAGCAACTTCAGATGAGCTGGCACTCCCGGGGTTGCTTGGGGGTCCCCTCCTCGTTAATGTCCCCCATTTTGAGCATATATAATAGAAAGATAAATAATTCTAGTCAAAGGATCTTTTGTTAAGGGAACAAGGGTAGAGGGATCAAGTTACGAGAGTAACTCGTAGGGACCCGTCATACTTCGCCGAAAAAAGCCCAAAAAAGCCTAAAGAAGCCCAAAAAAGCCCGAAAAAGCCCGAAAGAGCCGTGACGTTCTTTCCCTTTTGACATTCTTTCCCTTTTCCCATGCTAAGGCATGTGTGTTGATCTCGCAACCGAGTCTTTTTGCTTCATTTTCTGTCGTCTGCACATCAAAATAATGTCAGAATTCTATCAAAAGTTCGTCTTTGCGTTCCGGCTCTTTCGGACTTTTTTGGGCATTTTCCAGCTTTTTCGGGCTTTTTTGGTCTTGGGCTTTTTCGGGCTTCTTTGGGCTTTTTCGGGCTCTCTTCGGCGAAGTATAACGGGTCCCGTAGACTTGACAAACTTTTCTCAGGCGAAAAATTCAAATATTAAGCCATTCTTCATGTCGACAGAATATGTGTCAAAATACAAAGCCCCAATTTTACTAGTTAAGAACTCAGGGAATCCATTTTGTCATAATTATAATGCATCTCCCACTGTTTGAACTCGCCCTTTGTTTGGTTCCGTTTGGGTGGTTTCCTCTTCGTTTTTTCGCTAGTGAAAGTCTTCCTCAATGCACACAAAGAGCTTCTCCAACGTTTAGGTGACGACAAGTGGTTCATACATACAGTCGAGTAGATTTTCCGCTTATATAGTGTGCTTGCACTGAAGGTGAAATGCGGTAAAATTTACGCGTAAAGAAATAGCTATGCCTGTGGCGCCGGCCATTTGCGCGCGCAAAATGTTGGCATTACTGACGTGGCTAGTTGTTCACTCGCAAATTTTACCGCATTTCACCTTCAGTGTAAGCACACTATATTAAGCGGAAAATTTACTCGATTGTAAGCAAGGCATAAGGATAAGATAAAATGTTCTACTATTCGTAAGAAATCGCATGCAGTATACATCTTGCTTGTTTAAAAGTGTGGGGCCGAAACGATAAGCTAACTTTTTGACAAGGCAGAGAAAGTATCATTCATTCTATGACTAAGAGACGCGAGACCGCATTGCACACATTGTCTAAACAAGTTCAATCGTGTAGTTAGCAGATTTATACTTGTCGTTTATCTCGTACAGGTTTATTCACTCTTTGGAAACAGGGGAGAACAAACTCAAACATGTCAAGACAATGTCCGCAATGCGGTCACGCTCTCCTAGTCGTAGAATAGATGATAAGATTTCAACACAGAAGGAAAGTCTGCAACCGGTCTCCAAACGAATCTGGGGGCCGATGATAATATGCATATTATCATGAGCATTGTTGAGCCGGTCATGACCGGCTCAACAATGTAAAATTACCCACAATGAGTTCCTGTTGTCATAGTTACTTTCTACTTTCTTCTCAAACTTTTGATGGTTGCTGCGGATGCTCTACTACCGAGAAAGAAGAAAAGCACATGCACTTCCTAACTGTATGTGGAGTAATATTAATAATCAGAATTGAGCGTGAGGTCAGGCGCGCCCGACCTGGGGGGCGGGGCGTATTGGGGTAAGAGCAAGGGGGCGTACTCAAGGAGCGAATTTTTTCAAAAAAGTGAGGAAATACTGCGATCAAGTAAGGTGAAGAAGGAAAGCGCTTTAATTTCACAACTCCACTAGAGGAATGACTGCCGTGAACAACATGCTTAACACATGATTAACTCGACTAAAGAAACCTCAGCCAAATTTCAATTCTTCTACATTACACATGCCGTAAGGCCATCAAAGCTTTTCATGTAACTTGTATGATTTCTGTAATCAGCACCTCAACGACCTTTACATTACGCATTACATTTCCTAATCTTTGCTAACGTTTAAAAAGCATGATTTACAAACATGATTAGTTTGGTTATAAAAGTGAGAGAAGTCAGCCTTCTTATATTTATAACAAAGTAATACTCTTTATGCAGTCTATGGCAGAAATTGGACTTCATATCGCCTTCAAATAATGGACTCAGAAGTGCTGCTAAGATGTTAATCGTCGCGTTTTCTACCTCGAGTATTTCAACACCACCGATCACCACAAAGCCAAAACAAGTCGATGTAAGCTCAAACACCTATTATAGGGTGGCGCAAAAGTCTAGGAGCTTACTTTGCAGTGCTGTAAATCAAGAAACTACTGATGGTTTTAACTCCAAGTTTGTGCCTCATATTGCCGCAATCATCCACCACGAATCACACACACTTTGGCTGACTAAAAATGCTTGCCATACTTTTTTGTAGAAGTTGGATTTATAAACAAGTGCTCTGCAAAGCGGGAAAATCGAAATTTTTGGTCTTTACAACTTATTTTGTGGCTGAAGATATAGTGGATATCCCAGAGCACTTCGATGTAACAATGTAGAGGGGACTTTGCGCTATCAATTCGTAGTCGTTGCGTTTTCAGATACAATTCTTTCGGAAACGCAAAATAAAAATTTGCGCATACTACCTGCGTGCCAGTGGCCATTTTTCACTAAAATAAATTTGAAAGCTGTAGGAGCACAGCAGGCACTGAATTCTAGGCTACATTCTTTCCATGAGTCTTCTATGCAAGCATGTACTTGAGTTCGTTCGACCAAGCAATTTCAATACTTTTCAGATTATGTTTCTTTGCTCCCGTTCACGCAATCGCATCCAGATCTCCAGTATACATTGTACACTCGCCTTTAATTAAAATTCCAAAATTTTTTCCTAAACATTGCAAAAAAAAATTTTGTCGCAGTACATTGTAGCCAAAAGCTTGCTCTATCACACCTCACATTTGCCTGGTGAAAGAAACAGTCATCGTAAAGGCGTGGGACAAATTTCATCATGACTGCCTGCGTGCCACGATAGGCGGACTCGCCAAAATTTTGAAGGGCTGTTGAAGCCAGACGAGGCAATATCAAAATTTGAGAGCAGAGCTGCATTTGTAAAGGTTCAATTTATGTGTGCACCGAATTTTTTGTTCCTAGGGCACTTTCCTTCTGATTTCATCTGAAAAAATACTAGGCTCCCAGACTTTTGCCCCACCCTGTAATCTTCGAGATTTATGCTAGCGAATTATATGAAACTAAGGTGTAAAAGTTAGAAACCATTATCCGTCGGAATCCGGCGCTGACCTTAGCTACAGTATATAGCTAACGCGACCATAAAAGACGACCGAGCTACCTCTTATCTTTCCTTTGGCTATGAATCTTACTTATTACATATGAATCTTACCACATCATCAGGTCATCTTGAAACTATATTTTGTCTTGTTTACTCTCTGGTCTTGCCATGGTATTGAAAATTCTCCTCATCTTGGATACTCTCCCAATATACCATAAGGTGGGAATACTAAGGAACTGATGTTTCTCTAAGATATCTCATGGAATTTATCAATATTGAGATACCCCAATAACTTTTCGCCAGAATATAAAAGGGTTTATTTGATGAAGTTAGTAGAACCTCTGCTTCCCAAAGCATGTACATTCAGGGAGATGAAGTCATCCTTATCAATGACAGTCTTATTCTGGAATCCTTAACAACAAAAAGAACTCGTAAATGATACTTTACGTCATCTATCAACATCAGTTGTTAGCAAACTTAGGTCCTCATTCATTATGAATACGGATAGCGAAATGATTAGTTATATATAAGACCCAGAGGATAAACAACAAATCATATCAAATACAGGACCACTTTATGACCTGATAAGTAATATCAATGGAGAAGTGAGAGGCAGCCGGGTTGCCTTTTATGGTCGCGTTAGCTATATCCTGTAGCTAAGGTCAGCGCCGGATTCCGACGAATAATGGTTTCTGTAAAAGTTCCCTCGATGATAAACTTAATCGGGTTAGGCGCAACCCCTGAAAAGGTCAGGCTGCCTGAGCTTTTCAGGAGTTGCGCCTGAACCCCCTTGACTTGCCTTCAAAATGCAGAAATCGCTCCATTCCTGATATAATTATAGAGCTCGTAGCTTTTTCTTGCTACGAGCTCTATAATCAATGGAAATTTGGAACCGAACGCCCACTACAAAAATAATGTTTTGATAAGCCCATACAGAACGAAATCATCCGTGAAATTACGTGTGATTGTAACAGAAAATCGGGCGTACAGTTAAATGAAAACTCTCTAGAGAAGGATGATATCCTTCTGTCACACTCTGGGGTTCCGGAAATTAAGAGGAGGAAGAAAGAGTCGTTTGAGGGCTCTCGTAGGGGGAAGGGGGATCGTTTACGAAAGACTTGTGCCTGACCTCTTGCTCAATTCTGTTAATAATGTGGAAGAAATCCAAGTTAGCATTTGCCGCGCTCCACTCGTCAAAAGGTGCGCCTGTGCAGTCTTGATTGGCGCGGTCTTCATTATTCTGAATTTGCAACTTTGATTTCTCGTTTTCATCGCCAAATTCTTCGGGGGAATCGAGCGTAGGATTCTTAGGTTTGGCTATGTAGTATGGGGTACTGTTGCCGGTAAAGGTTTAGTGTTTCTTGTTCCTGAGAAACCAGGTGGAAAATACCAGCTATCGTAAGACTAGGAGACTCAAGTAAGCTCTGCACAGATTGTCTGAACAAGCATGGACTTGTTCCTTTTGGTTCCAGCTGAAATGTAAGTCTAATGCTGCAAGTTGAACTTGTTAAGCAAATTCAAGTTTGTTCGGACAATATGTGCAAAATGTTCGAGTCTTCTATAGAAGACTCCCGAAACTATAGTTTCGGGATTTTTTTGCTCGGTGTAGCGGCAAGAGTCTTTTGTACTGAGCGTGTTGTTACTATTGAACGTTTAGTTTGGCTCATGTCAGTATTCACCATAGTTCCAGATGGCTGAAAATTCAAGTGATCCGCACGAAGAGGACAGGAATGCAGAGGAAACACAAGAAGTTGAAATTGAGCCAGTAAACACCTCCGCGGAATTAGGAGCGCTTCAGCAATCACCACAGATGGACGAGTCGGATATCGCTGAAATGAGTATGATTGCTGCACAAATCGAAGCTGCTGAAGAATTTGACTTGACTTTTGAGGTTTGTAACGATTTTCTGTTAAAATTTCCTTAGAGAAATTTTTTTCATTTTGATGGAGCCGAGAAGTCGAACTTTCCTTTTGTTTGATGTAAAAAATGAATCTGAGCTAACAGTGCTCTGTTTTGTTCAAAAACTCGAATTCAAATACTTGTTCAAGTTTTCAAACATGTAGCCTCTATCTAATTTCTTAAGACCGTGGACACCTCCGACATGCAACCGGTAGAAGAAAGGCCAAAAAGTCGACGTCGTTCAAAAGAAGTCAGCCCGCTTCATGTGAGCGATCGGCAAGAGATCGAAGAGTTTTTGGAGGAAGGATTGAATGAATCAGCAGTAGGTCATTGATACCATTATTGTCGTTCTTAACCTTACATTTTTTTCGTTTCTTGAAGCTAAAGCATGTGAACCCGCACTGGGAAAGTTAAGTGCTTTTGAAGATTTTAGATTCGCATATCTTTGCTCAAAACTAGGAGATTTGAATACAAATATCTCGGAGGAAACAGACTCTTAATTCTTTTGAGAAGTCTAGTATCGCACGAAATAGATGATAGTCCCTGAGGGATCCACACTTGCGTAGATTCGATTTCTACGAATTGAGAAGTCTAAATTGGAACTCATGACTAATTTCCAAGAAGTATTTTGAGTACAAACCAACGAAAATTACCTTTTGGTGCCTATTTCTTTGCCCCCTTAGACATCATAAGATCAGGTTCCGGCAGTTTTCAACAATAATTTGTAATGATTGGCAGTGTTCTGATAGATGACTATCTTTGATTTTCAGCAGAATATTTTCTTATAAATCTTCCTCCTGTACCTCAATCATATTTATTCAATTCCAAAAGCAAACTGCAATCTGAAGTTAGTAGACATACCCGTACATTATAAACCTCATTCTCTTAAAAAATCAATCTAGTTTCTTGTGAGTGAGCGTAAGATCGAGAAATTTGTGTAAATTAGCGCCTAGAGACTGAAAATGAGTTGAGTTTATTTTAGGTTGCAAAACTGAATGAGAAAGCGAACACTTCAGTAGCAGAAGCTCTCCTAGGCGAATGGGGCAGCCCGATGGTGAATCCACAACGATCTTCTCAGAGACTGCTGCACTCACTAGAGCGGCAGACTGTACTGAAGGAAGCGTTCGCTGCTTCTACACCGAAGAGTCGTCCACCGCTGAAGGAAATGGCTCGCATCCCAACAAACAAAAGGAAACGTCCCTCAAGTTCGACAGTGGAAAATGATGCACCATCTCCTACTCGTAAGAGGCTTCCAAGTCCTCTCGGCGCTTCTGAAAATGGAGAAGAGACCGAAGCACCAAGGAGGAGGACAGCAAGTCTTTCAAAGGAAAGTGGATTGACGTTACCCGAGGATGTCCTAAAGGCTCGTAACGTTTGACTCTCTTGTTTTCAGTTTCATGCAATTTTATTTTGATTTTCTTATCTGCTTTGCATGCTTTGAGTTAGCTTTAACGTCTCAGAGTGTTTATGATATTCCCATCTCCTCTTAACCCAAATCGGTCACTCATATATTATTCGCAATATTTCTATCATGGCATAATTAGGGGTTTCAATCTGAGTGTCACGCTCGACGCGGTTCAGGTCCTCGCGAGCAGCTGCTTCTCTCAAGTGTCTCACGTGGGTACAATATCGCACCACCAAGGGCGAAGGCAGACATTGTGCCATGTCAGAAACCCTGGAGGCGGCTCGCGAGGACCTGAACCACGTCCACCGTGACCCTCAGACTGAAAACATTGCAGTCATCATGCCGTTTATAATCTGCTTACGTTACATGCTTTTTGTCAATTTTCATACTACTGCATGCTTACAGCACTCTAAACTATTGTTGCTTCTTTGTTTGCTTCCGAACTCTATGTTGTTAGGTTTGATTGATGCAGTCAAGCTTTTGCTTTTGAAGCATCTATTGAGTCATATAATACCTTGTGATTACTCCTTACTACGCTTTCTAGTGTTTTTTTTCAAACATTAAGTGGTACAAGTTCTTTTTTGAAGATAAAATAAATCAAATGCAATTATTTGTTGTTAAGTGATGAGGTAATCTAATGGTCAGATCGTATAAGTCAGATCTCAGACGCAAGGGAAATCCACTTGTAGCGTTTCATCTTCATTATAGCTGTTTGACCTAAGCCGCCCGACCACGACAATATAATAGAGACAGAGCTTAAACCTAGTACTTTAGACTTTCGATAAAAGACGAGTGGTTTGAAACCTCCACTACTAAACAGGGTCGGAGAGGAAGTCCTTGAACACGTTTTTTTTATACCGTAATCACGAAACTAGCAAAATGATTGATTAAAAGCAATAAATAATGTTTACCCAACAGTTTAGTACATAAACATAATTTCACAATTCAAAGATGGCTCCTTCAACGCGAACACAAGCTTGAAGACGCTTGAAAAGCCCTTTGAAGTAGCATGAATGTACTCCACGTCGACTTCCTCCCACGCCTCTTAAAGGACACGTTGTAGAAACTTTACGGTCTTCTGTAGGTGAGAGCAGCAGCCTCAAAAAGTGACCACATGTTATAGTTGGGGGGATTCATGTCCGGCAAACGGGTTATTAAGTCCTCAACGTTCCTCCCAGTCGACATGCTTGATTAACATTCGCCTTGTGCGCAGGTGCGCAAGAAACGCTCCTCAGACAATCGCAAATGACTTACGGGGAAAACTGAAGTTCTAAAACTTCCCGGGGGCACTCCTATTGGAGCTACCAGATAGGGCGGGACCAGGTAGGGTGGCCCACTCTACCTGGTCTAATAGGAGCGTGTCCCAGAAGTTTTAGAAGTTTAGTTTTCATGGAAAAGTATCAACAACGCCTAGGTTTGAGCACTTGGAACTTGCAAATTGTGATCATGCATTTGTTGTTTCAAATGGACGATTTACTAGCGCAAGTGTAAATCATTGTTTGATCGACTGGATCATGGATATATTAGCTGCTTGAACATGTACATCTGCTGGTGAATTTGTGTGTCTCATGTTATGTGATGGCGCTAATTAATTCGTTATCTTTAATTCTGTACAATACTAAGATATTGAGAGCCGATGTTTGGTGTTTTAGGTCCATAAACTTTTTCTGATGTACATAAAACTTTTTGCTGGGCACTTTTTGCTCGGTGTTTGATGTCTTAGCTTTATAGATACTTCACTGATGCCGATAAATATCGCAACATCATGCTTGGTGCGATGTCGCTTATTATTGTAAATTCACTGGCAAGAACATAACAGCTTTTGATACCACCCTAAAGATGTGGAGATGTGTATCACTCGGCGCATCTTTGAACGCTGTCTTCAAATTTGTACACCTGAAAGCACCTGAAGATAGATGATATTTGTATCAGGTACACTGGCTACAAAGGATAGAGCACCACCAGGACCCGGCACAGATCGTTTGGACGCAGGCTGGACTCCGTTTTTTGGGACAAAACAGTGGGATATCGTTTTTGCGGGATCCGGGGTTGAGCCCCTTGAAAAAATGTGTACATGCATTACAGAGAAGCATGTGGAGGAAAACTGCACATATGTACAGTGTGCAAGACAATTCATCACACTTCCTGTAGCGCCAGGAGCGAGTACTCATCAAGCACAACCTTTGAAGACAGTTATTACACGTTGGACGTGCTTTATCATGTCTTGCGAAAAGCGCGCGCTATTTGAAAGCAAAGCCAAAATTGGCAAATTGCTTGCTTAGGCTCCCGCCAGAGTGCCGAAGCCATGCCAGCGCTACGCCAGCGCCGAGCTAGCGTTTCGATCGATACACGTGTATTTCGTTGGGGCGGGGTCCTGGCTGAGAACTAGGTCAGCTAGCCCTGCCCCAACGAAGCCATGCCAGTTACAGCGCAGAGAGACAAGTTTATGACACCAAATTTGGACTATAGGCATAGAATATTTTATTCACGGAAGAATTATGTAACAAGTTCTGAATATACGTTGTCCGCGCTGCGCGCGGAGAGCAACGCTGTTGCGTCCAGTGAAGATAGTTGAGCGCAGAGAAAAACAGGCGGCGAGAGTGCACGGGGAAAGAGGAGTGACGCGCAATACACACCTTGCGCACTCTCCGCGCCCTGCGCGGACGGCCTATACTTATATGAAGTAGTACCTTTTTCAAAACTAGTTCGTTTCCAGACGGCCACCAGACGATCTGAGATCGTCTGGAGCATATATTTTTGTAAGTGCACATAAGTTTCGGATTTTCTATCAAGAACGGATTCAACGGATTCCTCGGTCAAGAATTTATCCCTGAGCCCGAAGACATTTTCATATCGTTGCCTTTTTCTTGTTTTTTGCCTCAATCTTCGCTTTGTTAGACATCACGCTCCAATGGCAAGCTTTTATGCATGCGTAGTATTCAGCTTCACTTTCAACTTTCATTCTTATTTCACGTTTTTTCTTCCAGACTAGTAACTTTTTATGCTTCCATCTTCTCGTAAGTTGATAGTTCCGATAAGGACCAAAGTGAACTTCGCCAAATTGGAAGTCAGGAGGGACTTCGTTTTCAAAAACTCTAGAAACCGACTCGTGCTGGGCCCTGAACACCACCCGTAAAAAACCGCATAGGTTTTTTTACAGCTTCTCGCTAACATTATGTCATTCGAAGTTTGAAAAACTTGGGCTTTCACACGCATAACTTCTTTCAGTGAGGTTGTTCCACAGAAGAAGAAAGCAGATTGAAATTAGCGTTCAAAGACTTTGCTAGCGTTGCCTCTTTACTTGGTTGAACAGTTAAAGGCAGCGTCCAGGCAGATCTGGACCTATGGGGCTTTTACGTGGAAAGTACTTTTGGGGCCCTAACTAAGGCACTGCCCAAGCGGCAGCTCAGGTAGTGCAGTAATGGCTGAGATATTCCCCTCAAAACTGGACCCCGCGACCGTGTTTTGCATGGATTCATGGCGCAAAGCGTGGATCCTGGCGCGAAACTGACATGAATCCATGCGAATACGTTCGTGGGGGCAGTTTCGAGGGGAATATCTCAGCCATTAGAGCACTACCTGAGCTGCCGCTTGGGCAGTGCCTTAGCTAGGGCCCTAAAAGTACTTTCCACGTAAAAGCCCCATAGGTCCAGATCTGCCTGGACGCTGCTTTTAAGTGAATTAGCTAGAGTATTCATAAATCTTGAAAATGTTGCAAGCTGCGGCCGCGTCCAAGATTGCCTGTTTGTGATGTGTCAGCGTAAGCAGTGCCGTTGATTGAACAATATGAACAATATCGAGCGCACTTTAGACCCACTCTGCAGATATATTAGAGAAGAACAGTGGACATATTTAGGCGCTGTGCATTATTCTTACTGCTTTGGTCCGAAATGGCTTCGTGGCGCTTCGCAATACTATTGAGTCAAGTGATCAAACAGCACCCATCAAAATTTATAGTTATAAATGTGATAAAGCGATTGACAGGCTTGCTTGATCACGTAGTCCTTCAACACAATAGTGTTGTAATGTACAAAAACTAGAGCGATTACATCTATCTAGCTAAAAAGTGCTTTGAAATGTGTTTACTTCTTGTAAAATTACTCCCTTGCAGAAGCGGAGCATCCAAAATAGAAAATTTGTCAGTTGACTTGTGCATCGGTGTGTGCTGATCCACAGGGTGACTTTTATACAGAAGTCAGAAGGGGAGCGAAGTCAGTCAAAGTTGCAGTCGCTTAACCAAGTTCTGGCAAGAAGAAGTGATGGATCTCTACTGATGGAACAATGCCAAAGTATGTCTATCTCCACGGTTCACGATGCATTGTGAAGAATCATTACGGTTTTGTCTTGCAATAAAGTCAAGAATGAATAGTTAGTGTAGTACTTTGCCCTTTTGTGCCTCTATAGTGAGACGAGATAAAACAGTCCAAATATTTCATTTAGTCAGTAACTGAAGATGCATTGTGGCAAAAATGCTCCCTTGATCTAATATATAAAGAATCGTTAACTCAATTCAAAAATCTGCAAATAGCGGGAAACCGAGGGCGGGTCGAAGCGAACGCTCTTGCGAATAGCACCTTTGAATTACTGGTTCACTAGTTATAAAGAAAGAACATTTTTCGGCCCGTATGCACGTACATTCCCGCTGGGGAGGGGAGGGGATCTGAGAGGGGATGCGCCATATCTTGTTACTTTACGTATCTTTCTTCTTCCTTTTCTATCTTGCTTATGAAGGTTCTCATACCCTACTACCTGCGCATAATTGATGCCCGGTTACTGGCATTACTGATTAGATTTGTACTATTTTGTGTGATCCCCTGGGGATCCCCAGGGGATCCCCAGGGGATCACCTCTTATTTTCAAAGTCATTTATCTTTCTGAGAAATCAATGGAAACGCCGCAAAATTGTACTGAGGATATACTACGGCACTGCTAAGCATGTTTTCGACAGAAAAAATGGAATCTGAAGATTGTGAATTTTCCGATGATCCCTAGCTTTTGAGCCAGGGATTAACGAAGATTTCGATGTCCTGAGATTTCAGGGGATCACACAAAATAGTACAAATCTAATCAGTTATGCCTGTAACCTGGCATCGATTATGCGCAGGTAGTAGGGTATGAGAACCTTTATAAGCAAGATAGAAAAGGAAGAAGAAAGATACGTAAAGTAGCGAGATATGACGCATCCCCTCTCAGATCCCCTCCCCTCCCCAGCGGGGATGTACGTGCATACGGGCCTTCGTTACCTCACTTTCCGGCGTATAAGCCACAGTCATTTTCATCGCACCCGGGCTAATTGTGCGATGACGATCGCGACGCGCGAAACCGAACAGGCAGCCAGCTGCTATCCAAGTACTTATTGTTCCAACTAATAGCCTACTAGTAACTTTCTGCTTTCGCTCTTTGTCGTCAAAGCATCGAAAGCGCCGTTAAAATATCAGCATCATCAATGAGTGGAACGATAGCACAGGTTTAACATCGAGAACATCATCGAAAACAAAAAAAAGCACCCTCAACTCTATTGAAACCCTGAGGAAAGTTACAACCTGAACACTGGCAAAATCGCCCGAATCTTTAAAAGGAGTAAAAAGTGCAGTAAAATGCAGTATGTAATGTATTGAGCCTTCAATTTATTGAATCAGAAACATTCTTTTCGAAATCGCTTCCGCGCCATTGTTCGCTACGGCGAGTGCGGCTTATAAGCCAAAAATAGGGTGTTTTAAATAGCGCACGTAAATAGACTATATTTCACTTATCTTCTGTCTAAATGAATCTCTTGGATGTTAATCCAAATCACACAAATCAAACATGCTAAATCTCAAATCTTATACTCGGCATCGCAGCTGTTCTTGACAGCTGATCACGAAAATGATACCCATTTTGCATAGAGAGACCTTCTTTGTGGGGTAGGCATACCGTAGGGGAAAAATCACAATTCTGTTCAAATTTGGTTCAGAGAGCTCTCCGACAAGCTGATTTCTAACACTTTTTTTTCGTAAAAACATCTCCTTGTACTGTGGCTGCACGGTAAGGGTCCGAATCACAAACTTTCTTAAACTTCGCTTAGGGGAGCCGTATATGTTTTGGCCCACAATTTCAAAAACAATGGAAATTGGAGATAAATTGCATGCGCCTGAATGAAGAGTGAAAAGCTTTAGTAGCCCGTCAAAAGCGAGCAAGGTTGATTAGCTCGATGAGAGACCAAAAAATCACATGAATACTCAATGCATCATGTCTGCAGAGCGTTAGGACCACCAGCCTATGAAGGACTCGGTGACGGTCCCTTTATTCATTGTGGCACAGAAAATTTAGGTAGCCTCATTTGCTCCATTGCTGCTGTGCTGCTCGTTCGAAACTACTTGATGTGGCGAGCTTTAATTACAAGCACTTAGAAAAAAACGCCATGCAACAGTTCCCACCTTTAGTCCCCAATCAAAAGATTTCTATGTGAACTAACATCTGCCAAAACTTGGGATATCCAATAATTCTTCCTTTTGAGACTGATCCTCTCTAAGTGCCCCATAACTTTTGGTTCACCTTCATAGAAAACGATTTAGTGACAGGATCCGCTGCAAGAGAACAGGGAAATTGTTGAAACTGGCATCTCCGGAATCTACCAATTAAGTACGTCTCGATAAGGCTGGCTGAACACATGCCAGAATATTTGGTGTTCGAAAAATAATTGACATTTACTGCTCGTAACAGCCAGCCACATTTCCTCCGGTCACATAGCATGATGCGCTTTTGAAGTTTGCCAGAACTTCAGATTGCTGGTGTGTAGAGAAGTCACAATCAGAGTTACTTCAAAATGGTGATAAGCTCAGCTCTCATGTGGGCATAAATGCCATCGAAAACCTAGGGAGTAAATAAAACTCCGAGACAACGAATCAGAATGCTTATATGACGAGGGAAAGACTGGGTCGTCCAATTCATCAGTTCCCAGAGACTAAAGGATTTCCAAGTGTCTAACTTTTGTATTTAGTTTCGCGGAGGATTCTAGAGACAAAAAGGGAAAAGGTAGTTTGTTTGGCATTGCAGCAGTACGCCAGAAAAAAATCACATTGTTAAGCTAAGATGTCGTACATTTATGAGAATGTCATGAAAATAATTAGTGCTTCATGTCTGTGGCTTTGCAATAGTTTTTCATCGTTTGTTCTTATATATGATATCTCGAAGCCTATTACAGCTTAACGAGCCTTCGTACCCAAATAAAAGCTCTCAAAACCCTGAAGACTTGGTGAAGTAGAACCATATCGCTCAAGCTATGCTCATGTTGTTCGTAATCGGAAAGCAATTCCAACTAGAACGTTTTTTAAGTATTTCAGTATAGACTAGAGTCATTTGGTCGAGTACCACAACGTTGCTTATCTTCAAACAGCAATCATATGAGAGTAATGTCCAACTTGATCTTCGCAGCCCATTCAATCATAAAGGAATAACCATGTTGCTCCACGAAAAGTGATACTTGAAGAAGGTCCAAAAATCAAACATTTGCAGAAGCAAAGAGTCAAATATGGCTAAGATAAAGATGCATTTTTCTCCAATATCAAATTGCACTTTCTACCTGACATAGCAAACTATTTTTCTACGAAAACCTCGCTAAAGTTTTTACACATGTTGAGACCTCCTAGTATGTTAACTGATAATCAGACTTTTTCGTCAAGGCCTCATATTGCCAGAATTGTCTCGAATGCAGGTCTTATAAAAATCAGTTGTTATGTGATGCAACTGAGGAATCAGCAATTTCAAAAATATGGTTGGGATTTTTAAGTGTTTAGTTTACATTATAACGCAATACGCTGATTTCAGCCGCTGGAAATAAATGATTTTTTTAGCAAATAGATCTAAGCTGAGCGCAATGTTTATTCTATGCCGTTTGTTCATCCTTCCTTGTTGCTATGTAAGCACTAAAAGTGTAATAAAAGTTTTTCAGAATTCGCAAAAACATCACCACAGTTTGATAGCAGAGTACAAATTTTTTTATGTACCTGCATATTCATATAAATTAAACAAGTATATAAAAGGCGCATGTCTTCTATCTTAGTCGATTTTACTCCCTGTTAAGTTCTGCAGTAAAATGTCGTGCTTCCTCAAGGTAATATAGGATGATACTCTTTTTATTTGATTGTGACTAATAAATTCAGACACTTTCGCTTCTGCTCAGCATAGCATCGCTCTCATACACAAGTAAGTCCATATGCAGCATCTGTCTTTCACAAAAGATAGTGAGAAATCCTGTCTTCAGAAACCTGCAACCTCGATGAAAATGCTGAGATAGCCGTAACAGAGGCTCACAATAAATATAGAGAGGACATTGCAAAAGGGAAAGTCTTGAAAGGTTCAGGATCGAGGAGCCTTTTTGCTCTGGTAAGCAGCTGCCTTCATACTATAGTCAAATCAAGGGAAAGTTTGAAACAAAACACTTGAAGAGTTTGACTTCTAGCCTAAGATTTAAATCTCGATCTTTACCAAAATGATGCAGAACTAACTCCAAATGATTTGCGCCTTCAAGAAGCTGTCATAAACTTCTTTTTACTCATGATAAAATGATACAAGATTTTCTAGTCGTAGACTTTCTCTTCCCACGCCCTCTTTTTTTGGAATTCTCGGGTTCTAAGCCCACTTAAAACTGGGAAAGATTCCGTAAATATTGGAGGGCGTCTAGGCTGAGAACCTTCATTTAAGAAAAATTTTATAGCTCCTTTCCCTCCCCCTTCCACCCCGCACCAAAATTATTAGACGCTGCCATTGACACATTATGAGGAAGGGAGTAGAGAGGAGCAGAGCTACGAATAGCATGATGAAGTACACGTTTCAGCCAGTCAATGATATCCTAACACGCATTTGGATTACCTCCGAATTCAATGTTGAGTGTGTAGCTTACGGTTAGAGCATGGGAACCCAAATCCCCAGTCCAAGTTGGTTAACTTTAATGCAACCGTTTAGCTAAGCACAAGTTCATATCCCCCTCTCCTCCAGTGCTCTTCACTGAGCGTTCCGCTAAACGTAATTGTCAGAAAACATTTCATAAACATCAAAAAACGTTGGCTGCACAAAACTACACTTTCGCAAACTTGCATCCACAGAGGAAGCAGCGTTCAAAGACTGGGTGATCCGTTCAAGTAAAGTCCACGGACGACACGAGGAGAGCAAACGACGTTCAAGAACTTCGCCATTGCCACTTTCCATCTTTACGAGTTTCCACTTGATCTCGCCAGTTGCTTTTGTTGATTAAAGCGCCCCCTCTCTCTTAGAAGGCCCATCTTACTGTCTTGGACCTTGACAACAAGGAGAGGAGGAATTTGTGATTAAAATGCGCTATATAGTAAACTGGGTTCAGAACAATTTATATGAAATTACGAAAAAAAGTCATATGAACTGATACCGCGACACAGGGTGGCATCAGTGTGGCACCCTAATTTGGAAAGAAGTTCATCCACATAATTCCACCAGAAAGTCCATTAGCGTAAGTTTGTCGTATACTTTCATACTTTGGTCTTATATCCCACCACATATATAGTCGTCCTCCCCCCACTAGACACCTAGTGGACGAAATCGAATTTGAATTGGAGCACGCCGACTGCGGCAGAGCGCGGCACCGTCAAATGCATTTCAAACTAACACAGTTTTCTTTTGTGTTTCACTGTCGTTGCATAGTGATTTCTTTCTGTTTTAATGATGATTATGATCAAAATTGAAGGATTTTTTGCTATGCGATGTTTCGTAATGCTATGCTCGTTTCTTTACTCTGTTTTCAGGAAAGGTTGGAAAAACGATGCATTTGGGGAGTTTTTGACACGAAGTATTTGATGAATCATACTTCGAGACCTACCGAGAACAATTCCACCAAATTTCAAACTTGGGCGTTTTTCCAAACTCAACTTGGAATCGTAGTCAAAGAAACGAGCATAGAAGCACGATCCATTGCTCAAACAAAAGCAACAATTTCAGTACGGATTGAGAGAATGTCAGCATTCGAACCTGAGGTTGTATCGTCGGGAAAACACAAAAAAAAATTGTTTGAGATTGAAGTGACAGCTGCAGGTGCCGCGCTCTGCCGCAACCTGCGTGCTCTAGTTCAAATTCGAATTCGTCCACTAGGTGTCTAGTGGGGGGAGGACGACTATACACTATATACTATCATGACTTATAATGAAGCGCTAAACGTCTGTCTTTTTGTGCGTGTGTGTGTGTTTGTCTGTCTGTCACGAAATTCGTAGAGGCAGCTGCAGCCAGGCTATCGAGCTACAATTTTGCATAGCGTACCGTGCCAGCGTGTAGGCCCACCATGCGCAAGGACGAGCCGGTTCGATAAGCGGGTCCCTCAAAATTTGCGCCTCAAACGGGTCCACCTTGCTTTTGGCGCGCAAAACTAGATCACAAATTCAACTTTTTGCAAGTCCTGATTTGCCTGACAAGCAAATCTGCGCTCCAAGAATTCTAGCTCAAAAAGTGCTCAAAAAGTTTGCTTTTCCGCGAAAACAGCGCAAAAAAGTAGTGTTCGCGTACAGTCTCCCCCAATCCCAACCAGGCCAAAATCGGCATGGCGGGAGTCCGCGCCGCGCGGGTTTCGCGCCACATCTGCGGCTAGCTAGTCTGCTCTCTCCTCGATCTCTTCACTCTCTGCGACAGCGCGCGTATGCAGCGCAATCCCCTAGCGCTGCAAGCGCGCAAATTCAGCCGACGGTTCGGCCTGGTCCCGATTGGGGCAGACTGTAGAGAGTCGATTTGACAAGGTTTTACCTAAATATCTGAAAAGATTTTTGCATGGAAATGTAGCCCAAAATGACTATTATTATAACAATTACCAAGCCAAAATAAATTCAATAATCTGTTCGAATTCATATTTATTCCTTGGCAAAAAAGTTTTCTTTCTCAAAATTATCGTTCTTACATGGAGATGCTTCAAGAATGAACAGTTGTTTACGATTCATTTATGATGTACATCCTCGCGCGGTGAGTTTCAAAGTCATCATTTTGGGAGCATGAATAAGGCATACGGATAACAGAGCCAGTGCGAACCTCCGCGAAGCGTAGGTGACGCACTGGTACTATATAAACTAACTAGCTGTCGTACCCGGCCTTGCCCGGGATAACATCACTTAGGGTTCACTGTCTTTGGATATATGTGACACTCAAAGCAGTAGTGTATCATTGAAGTTTGTTTGCAAAAATAAAAATAAAATGTGTACACTTTTACTCAACAGCATTGTCTCTCTTCTTTTTGAAACATGGAAGACGTGAAAAAACTTGAAGAGCAAGCATTGCGATATAGGTGGAAGAACGTTCGAATAATGTAGCGCCCATTGCTATCCTGAGGATCATTTTTCCTAGTACTTCGCCGCTAATCGGTTATTCTGTTTTAACTCCCGCACTCTACCCTCCTCTCCCGTACTACGACAAAAGTAAGTGCTTCTTTGACTGTCCTTGCTTTAGAGAGCGAATACCTTTATAGCCAAAGCAACAGCCATTCTACCATGTTAAAGATATGTAATCCACAACTTGTGAGCCATTTGGATAAGAGATTAATGAAAAAAACTCAAGGACTTCAGTCAATAAACAAAATTATGATGTAAGCTTTCAGATTGAGAGTCACGCTCATGCGGCTGGAATTCATGTCGGAGGTTCCAACGCTAGAGTGTGGCACGCAATTTGAGATAGCTTGTAACTTAGCGATTGGCTCACATCTGCATCAAAAAAAGGCTTTGACTTGCGTTAACAACACTACTACCTCGCACCGCAAAAGATGCATCTCGCAGTTTTAGACAGAATATATAGGATCTACATCTGAACGCTTTCGACCTTGCTTTGATGACGAAAGTTCACAATGGATCGTACTGCTCTTGTTTACATAAGTGTAGGAATGGTTCGGCAATAGCTGCTGATAAGCTTCATTCCCTTACTGAGAGTGCAACAAATCAATAAATCGATAGAAGGACCCAGCGAATTGTCGAAAAAAGTAGCCTATCTTTTGCGCCGTGGCTTGTTTATAGGGAAACAAAATTCAGCCTCTTTGGTTCACATACAAAGGAGTCTATAAGCCACAAACATCCTAACAAACACGGTACAGCGTTTGAGTTTTATATATATATAGATACTACTATATCTTATATATAAAGCTGAATGTCTATTTGTATGTATGGGTGCCTTCATAGCGCGCCCGCAGCAGCCGTTGGCAGCCCATAGCAGCCTGCAGCAGCCGCCAGCAGCCCGTAGCAGCCGCCAGCAGCCCGTAGCAGCCGCCAGCAGCCCGTAGCAGCCGCCAGCAGCCGCCAGCAGCCCGTAGCCGCCGCTGGTCGCTTTTGTCATGGAAGCGAAAATCATCAAATTCTTAGTACTTTGCGTGCGCCTGCCCATACTTTCCCTCTTCCACGCCGATGTGATATGACTGAAGCAGAACATCCTAAAAATTAACGAATAGCAACCTGCAGGAACTGGACGCATCCAAAGTCAGAAGAAATCACATCGCGAAGAAACTTTGGCGCAAATGGTTCATTTGTGAGAGGGAAACTGAGCATCAGTAGGATAATCAATCTACGGTAACAAGATAATAACAACAATGGACCAAGTATGATGATATATGAGATTAAATTGCGGCAACAGGGAGGAAAAAACTTGGAGGATGGAGGGCATGGGCGGTTGCATTTGAAATAGTAAGATTTTGATGATTTTGCGCCTGTATGACAAAAGCGGCTAGCGGCGGCTACGGACTGCTACGGGCTGCTACGGGCTGCTGCGGGCTGCTGGCGGCTGCTGGCGGCTGCTACGGGCTGCTAGCGGCGGCTGCCGGCGCGGTATGAAGGCACCCTATGTCTGTCTGTCTGTCTGTATGTCTGTCTGTCTGTACGTATGTTCCGAATAGAAAATTCCATTTCTGAACCGATCCGGACCAAACTTGGCACACATACACTACGGGCCCCGGCGGGTGTCATAGGCTACTTTTCGTCATCGATCGATATCGATTTTATCGATTTTTATCGATTTTTTTGCTGAGTTCACCTACGGGGCTGGGAGTTGGCACAGGGGGGTAATCGAGCATGGAATTCCGAATACAATATTGGTTTTTAGGATTATCGATTACTTTTATCGATTTTATCGATTTTTTTGCAAAGTTTGAGCTACGGGGCTGGGAGTTGGCACGGGGGGGGGAGGTAATCGAGCATGGGGATTCCGAATACAATATTGGTTTTCAGGATTATCAATTACTTTTATCGATTTTATCGATTTTTTGCAAAGTTTGAGCTGCGGGGCTGGGAGTTCGCACAGGGGGGTAATCGAGCATGGGGTCCGAATACAATATTGGTTTTCGGGATTATCGATTACTTTCATCGATTTTATCGATTTTTTGCAAAGTTTGAGCTAGGGGGCTGGGAGTTGGCACAGGGGGGTAATCGAGCATGCTGATCATCCCCAAGGGGGGTGATCAGCATGCTCGATTACACCCCTGTGCCAAATTCCAGCCCCCTAGCTCAAATTTTCAAAAAATCGATAAAATCGATAAAAGTAATGGACGATCTTGAAAACTAATATTGTATTCGTAATCTGCATGCTCGATTACCCCCTGTGCAAACTCCCAGCATCGCAGGTCAAACTTTACAAAAAAATCGGTAAAATCGATAAAAGTAATGGACGATCCTGAAAACTAATATTGTGTTCGTAATCAGCATGCTCGATTACCCCCTGTGCAAAATCCCAGCCTCGCATGTCAAAATTTACAAAAAATCGATAAAACCAATAAAAGTAATCAATAATTCTGAAAACTAATATTGTATTCGGAATCCCCATGCTCACTTCCCCCCCTGTGCCAACTCCTAGCCCTGTAGGTGAACTCTGCAAAAAAATCGATAAAAATCGGTAAAATCGACATCGATCGATAACGAAAAGTGGACTGTGACACCCGCCGGGGCCCGAAGTGTATGTGTGCCAAGTTTGGTCCGGATACGGCGGAGCCGGGTAAGCCAGCTAGTACCATAACTTATCAATAGCACTGTCGGGGGTACCCAGCATCTTCACTCTCGCGCGGGACTCGGCACCTCTTCCGCGACCATGCTCTCTAATCATATATCCAGTCGATTGGGGCTCCCCCTTTCCCATGGTGGGAAAGTCCGTGGTGGGAAGGTGATTAAAGAGCTGTTCGCGAAAGACGTGCAGAGTCCAGGCGAAGCGGCCGCGCGGAGTGGAGATGTTGGTGCGTTCGACATGCCGTTGATAAGCCCTATCATCAAGTTTGGACCACATCACTATGCGTTGCAAACGAGTCATTTTTCCACGTCTCAGCATACGAGAAAATTACAAAGGAAAGCTGTCACGACTCTCGTTGTATAATTTTTCGCCAGCACTCTGATCCAGGCTCTTCCCAGCCCCTTCTATGTATGCATCAATCGGAAACGTATCTTATATATGCATATGCTGGAGAGACATTTATTCACTACTCAGTAAAGAGAAACTTGATTTTTTGAAGGTGACGCTTGAAAAAGATCGTGTTTTGCAGCCTGTATAACCTTGTTGAGGGAGTGCGTATGTATACAGAAAGTGTACATACTATACTCCCATTACTTTTTCTCGAAACGGTTTCCAGCTTGGCATTTGCCATCCTCGTGCCAAAACCTGCACAGCACTGATCAGTCCCTTTCGAAACAGTACGATGGGAGCTGGATTTCGAGCAAATATCTTGACCACGAATTCTACAGATGAGCCGTAGCCTGGGCATAGCAATTTAGGCAGGGCTCTTCTACAACTACTTTTTGAAATTCGATGCTCATTTTTCTGAACACAACCTCAAGACCTTTGAGATGCTTTGGAAATACTTACAATTATGACAATAAGCTCATTAGAGTCACTAATCGTATTCATCAACGGATCCCAAGAATCGAGCGTACCTTTGTTGCCAAACTAAGATACCCTTATTTTGTATAGGTTAATGGGTAGAATAGCCTATAATAGCTTTGTCTAAGTTGATTTTGACAGGGTTTCATTGAATTGCTTAAAGGCACCGTCCACCCAGATTTTCGACTTCCGCGTTTTTGCCGTCTCAGGGTCTTCTCATGTCTCTGATTTCGAATATGTAGTGAGAATGCGCGAAAACTCCGACAGTCCCCGTTCCGGAGGACCCACAGGCCGGCTTTCCGGAACGGTGATTGGATGGGCGCGCACAAATGGGCGGGCATGGATGGGGGAGGGCGGGCTTGGATGGGGGTCCTCGTGCATTTTCGCTATTCCGAAGCGATTTTCTCGCTTACGAAGCAACATTTTGAGCCGCGACTTGGGAATTGGATTGACAGGGGGCCCTACTATTATATGCTGTGAAAAGCTCAACACCCTCAACTTAGGGTGAACGGTGCCTTTAAAGTAAAAGTAGTGCCAATCTTCAAAATGCGTTTGTCAAATCAAGTCTCAAATCGGCATAAAAAAAGTCATTTTTTGCTACTATTATGGCAAATTCATGTACCCAACTTTTTTTTCACGGCGCATAAGATATTCCAGAAGTACGATTGCATACACGAAGCTCTTGCTGCTACGCCCATTGGTGATGCCTGCGAAAACCTAGGAATGCAAGGGCCATTAAAAAGTCTTAGCAAATCATACAATTTCGAGAGGTTGGTATTTCGCGTTCAGCGCACACTAAAAAAGGTATGATTATTTTTTAGTTACCGTACACCTTCAAATCCTGCCGACGTTACTGCGTATTATCAAATGGCTGTGGATGACTGGAAGGTTGGAACAGAAAGTAATAAGTTCACTGGTTCGACGAATGTGAAATTTGCTAGGGTACGTTCTCCCTATACGTCTGCAATGATAACAAACGAGCCAAAATGAAAGCAGCTCGCCCAGAAAATGCAGAATAAGAAATTACGGTGGTTCGCGCAGTGCGTAGAGGAAGAAAAGCCACATCACTAAGTTAGCCTTAGCGGTGGAGAACCAGGTGAAAAGCTAGAGGTAGATCCAAGATGAGGTGGTTGGACAGTATCAAGGATCAAGACCGACCTGCGAAAACTTGGAATGGTAAAGACCTTGCCTCAGATAAAAGGTTTTGTAGACGACTGACAATAAAAGCACACCCCGAATAAGCTACGAATACGAGGATAGCACAGGAGGTGATATCCAGAAAACTGACTCCTCATCTTGTCTGCTGCTGTTCAAAAACTGTAAAGTCACATTTTCACTGTTCTCCAAATTACTTATTATACAAGAAGGAAAGTTGCTGGAAAGCTTGACAACATGGTTTGAAGCAAAGGGAAATTTTAGAGTAACTGAATGTTCAAAGGGATCTTGTCTCTGAATACGAGATGTTGCACTCTTCCCTTTTTAATTTTTCCATATACACACGGAAAAAATAAATCCTTCATTCAGATGGTCAACTATAGAGCCTATGAATTTGGATGTACCCACAAATATTGCGCCGACAACAAAAAACTTGCGATTGTGTGCCTTTACAACAGCGAACTGTAAGTGTTCCCTTCTCATGATCCAAGGCAAACTGACAATGTCTTTCCTGTATGAGGTCAATCGTAGATTGATGTCAAGCTAATCAAGTTCCTTTTGGTTTTATCCTTGAAAACGCATTCTTCATCTTTTCAAGGTCACAATTAGGCTTGCTACTAGTTTTACAATTTACGCATTTGGTCATAAACTTAGAACAGTTTCCAACAAAATGTGGGAGGCTTGAACTTAGTGAAAAAATAGCGCTTCCAGCAGTTCAAATGGGTTAGGCACGGCTTGGCACCAGCTGGAGCCAGGGAGATTCTGAAACGAAGCCCCTTTGTGAGAAATTCTTACGAAGTCCCCTTTGACTTTCACCCCTCCCCTCAATACCTCTTGCCTGTCATTTTTTCTTGTGCTATCGCTCAGACCAAAATAGAAGAAAACCTGAAAACTTTGTCTTACTTATTAAACAGAAAATTTGAAATTTTCCTTTATTACTTTTGCATTTGCAGAAATTTTTACACTTTTCACAATGCATTGGTTCGCCTAAACATACCGGCCCAGCATCACTTCCCCATTCTTTTTTCTTTTCTCCACATCCCATCACTTCCGCCCGTACAAGACATTGTGAGCAGAAGAAAGGTTTCAGCTCAGCTAAAACCCAGCTGGAACTTGAGCAAAGACAGAACACTTCTGGTGTTTTCTGAAAATTTATGGTAATAATATAACTTTCAGAACGATTAAGGTGAGCATTGGGCTTGCTCATTTACCCCTCATCCACATAAGTGATAAACTTTCATTTCTTCTTCTCTACATAACTATGACGTTGGCACATCTCGCCTGGGGGCATAATTCTTATGGCATATACAATTTCCTTAAAGTAAAAGATTTTAAATCAGGCCGGCGAAAGATGCAGATAAGGACCTCTGGGAAGCATATGCGACTACGAAAGGATGCACAAAAAATTCGACATGCAAATTGGTGAAAGATGCTCTCAAAGAGATTGATGCTGATTTAGTTGGTGCTTGCGATACCAGTACAGGTCTTTGCGTGACCGAAATGAAGGAGAGTAAGTTGCAGCTAGCAGTTCAGTATGTCTTTGCCGTTTGTCGCACTGTACCTACTCAGATAATTGCCGGGGGCAGGCGATCCGCAAACTCGCGCTTTTCTGCAGGCGGTCAGCAGAATTTTGGTGCATGGCCAAACCTTCAGCGGGCGGCACATCCTTTACGGTCGCATATTCTACCAGCGAGCAGCAATACAGCATTTTCTGCAAGCGCTCGGCAAATAATTTCCAGCGAGCGCTGGCCAAACTTTCAGCAAACGCTCGGACTCTTTTTACGCAGTTTCGGGCTTACGTCGAGCACAGGTAAGACTTTGTGTGGCAGAGGTGTCACCTTTGGTTTAATTACTCAAGTTTGAGTTACTTTCTCTCAGCGGAAAGTACCTGGGGCTGCGCAGTCCTCCACAAAGGAGCGTGCGGCCCCCGAAATTTTTGCATATTCTCGCGGAAAGTTTGCGAGAATGCGGCCACTGCGCCGCAGCTAATCTATAAGGAAACCGCGATTGTTTTCCGAACATTCGATCAAAATTTCGCTAAAACTCTTCCAAATATCTGCAAGCGGACCGCAAGAAATCAGCGAACTATTTTTCCGGTGCCCGCTCGCCCATAAATCGCATGGCCGCCTGCCCCCGGCGATTATCTGAGTAGCTGACAGCGCAAGAATGCTCAATCTTTTGATGTCTGTACGTTGTAACTTATCCAGACTTTAGTGATAATAAACAATAACGAGTTTTTCCGCTCAAAACAACTAAACAACTACAGCGCCACCCACAACTACCACTGCCACCCCAAGTACGACCGTAACTACTCAACCCACAACGACTATTACAACAAATTCGAACGAGAAGATGACTGATGAGATTCGAGAGCACATCATCACTATGCACAATTACCGCAGGTGAATTTTTTTTCCATTTGTGAGAAGCTTGAAAAGCTGCTTGCGATACTTAAAAAGTTTGTACTTTTTGTGGAAAATATCAGCTGCAGAAGACTGATTTTCAAAACAGTGATTCGGAAGATCGTGTTTTGAAGCTACATCGTAGCTAACAATTAAACAGAGAACTTGACTCTATCTCCTATCTACTCACTGTGGAGAACGTAAAAAGAAATAAACCTTCTACAGAACTCAACAGTTGTGAAGGATTGTCTGCCAGGTACAGAGCTTATCAAATGCAGTGTCGGATCTCCGCTCCTGCGCGGCCGCTTCGCCTGGACCTCCTCTGTGAACAAGTTCTCTGATCACTTTCCCAAAGCGAGCGTGGAAGAGACGGAGCCTCAGTCGATTTAATATGGTTACAGAGCATGTTCGCGGAAGAGGTGCAGAGTCCTGCGCAGAAGTGGAGATGCTGTCGCACTCTACACTACAGCCGATAAGCCCTGTATATAACACTAAGAAGAAACAGCTAAGTTTCGTCTGTAACCGGGTATTTCCCCACAAGACGCATTTGCGCTGCCTCTGACGACTTCAGGTTCCGGGCAGACTTTACGCGATTTGATTGTCGCGACTGAATCGCGACGAGACAGTTACAACATTATTCCATGCCGATCAACTTGCATTTCGGTTGTGATACTTTTGCAGCCCGAAATTTTTGAATGTGAAATGAAAATGAATGGAAATGTTGGCGATTGAGTCGTGACGATCGAATCGCGTGAAGTCTCTCCGGGGTCTTATCCCACAAGAGCCTTATCTTTTCCAATGAAAGCACAAGTGGGCTGCGTCGCACTAAAGTTTATGCGGAAAATCTCAATTACAGATTTAACACATAAATTTGCTCACTTTAATCGAGTGAAACGCCTATAAGGTTGTGCGTAGCCTTATAAGGTTAAACTTGGGTATTTGAACCTAAATAGAAATTGAGTTAGTTTGTGATCGCTACTTGATATCAAATTCATTCATAAACGTCACGCGATTGCTGATTATGTCAAACCAGTGCGTCAACTCTGTTTCGCAGAGGTTCGCACTGGTCCTACTATCTATCCCTCCACTGATGATGGCTTTGAAACTTACCGCAAAATGCTGACTATCACGAATGAATCGTAAACAACTATCCATTCTTTCAGATAAGATCGCTAATTTTGAGAAAGTTTTGCAAGAGCAAATGTGAATATGAATCAGTCACCGAGTTGTTTCGGTATGATAGTCGCCCAAAGACGATAACCATCTCCACGCAATAATTTTCTCACTTATTTCGGTAAAACCTTGACAAATTGACGATTAAAGCTATTAATCCTTCTTGGCGCCGTTTTCGGTGTCACCAAATTTTCGGTGTTACGCCGAAAAGGTTTCTGAGTTTCCTGAGTTTTGGTTTTGACTTTCGATCGTTGTAAGTCAAGTTTTTCTTTATTCATTCCCTCATTCAGAGCCAATCTTGCCAAAGGAAGTATTAGAAATGGGAAAGAAGGAAATCCAAACTGCCCAACTGCTCAAAATATGTATGAAATGGTAGGCAACATCGTTAATGCTTGAAAATGATACTACTAAACTTCTGTAGAGATATGACATGGATCTTGAAACGGAAGCACAAACGTACGCTAATCAGTGCCCAACCAAAAGATCTACAATGCAGGGTGAAAATTTCCAAAAACACTCCTCAATAACAATATCATATTATGATGCTGCAGTAGAGGTATTAGAAAATCTGAATAATTCGATTATTTGCTAATTATTTCATTTTAGGCTATAAAAACTTGGTGGAAACAGATTTCAACGAATGGCATCAATGCCCAGATGCTCTACACGCAGACCTTAGAAACTAAGACCGGTTCGCCAAATATGTTTACTCAAGTAGGTGCAGAAAACAATTATCATCTTTTACGACTTTAAGCAGGAATCAAAAGAAAACGGGCTGCAAGATGCGTAAAATCTTTGAAATTTATTTTAGGATATAAATGAAGTTAGGGCTTTGATAGTTTTTTTTACGAATGAGACTTCAAAGAATGAACTTACTACACTGCGACTGCTGTTAGAGCTCAATGCAAATAAAGCAGCTTTTTACAGCTATCTTCTCTACTTCATTAAAATAGCTTTGCCTGAGTCGTTCCACAAAAAAAATTTTTGTGAAAAAAAACACAAAAGTACGGGAACATAAATTACCCTAATTTCCGAGGTATAAGGCGCACCTTGTATGAGGCGCACCCGCCGCAGCGAACAATGGCGCGAAAACGCTTCCTATTTCCATGATTGCTCTTTAAGGGCCGCATGCACTAACATCCCCGCGGGGAGGGGATGGCAGCTTAAAAGAAAGCTTTATATTTCGAGACTCCAGATACCTGGATTTCACGTTGTGTACCTATCCGTAAGCATTACTACTGCCCTTCTCTATGAACATGCTGAAGAAGAGCGAGAAGCTGTACGAACCGCATTTTCCAGCTTTAGTATGATCCCTGATGATCCCCGGCGCTTTTCTTTAAAGTCATTTTTCTTTCTCCCAAGTCAACAATAACCTCCAGAGTGTGCAGATTATCTGACCCGACAGTGCTAAGCATGTTGCTGATAAGAACAAATGATGTTTTGAAGTCATGAAATTTTCGATGATCTACAGGTCGAAATTTGAGGTTTGCCGAAAAACTCGACTTTTCAAAAACTTATTTGTTCTCATCAGCAACATGCTTAGCACTGTTGTGTTAGATGTTCAGTACAACTTTGGAAGGTTTTCGTTAACTTCGGAGAAAGAAAAATGACTTTAAAGAACAGCGCCGGGGATCATCAGGAATCATACAAAGGCTGGAAAATGCGGTTCGTACAGCTTCTCGCTCCTGTTCAACATGTTCTTAGTGAAGGGTAATAGGAATACTTACGGATAGGTACACAATGTGAAATCCAGGTACCTGCAGTTTTGAAATATAAAGCTTTCTTTTAAGCTGCGATACCCTCCTCAGCGGGGAGGTTAGTGCATGCGGCCCTAAATCTAAAAAGCTGGAAACTCAGTGTGCTGTGTTTATTCTTCCCTGCCCATAAATCTTGCCTCCAGGTATTTTTTCCCTTTTCTCAAAATGTATACCTTGATATCGTTTCTACAGATGGGAGGAAGGTTCTTAATGGTGTTTACCGTATTTAGATGTTCTTTCTTTTGTTTCCATCGATGTTATTGATGCTATTAGGTCGTTTCATAAGTTCGTAGAAATTTTATTTTTGTCGCCGTTTTTCGATGAAGCGGTTGGTTTACGGCAAAGTACCTATACCAATAAAAAGAGAAAATTTTGCTCTACAAAAACTGTTGTTCGTTTTTGGAGCAAACTTGAATCCCCTTCTTTTACGACTTATCAAAGCAAAATTTTTTGAGAGGCAAAAATTGGCGATTGCGGCAACTGCAACTTTCGATCCGCATACGGAGCCACAAGTGGGAATTTTTTGTCTGAAGTTGTTATGAGTGATGAGAAACAACTGTTTGTGGTACTACGGTGCATATAAAAGTAGTCTCCATATCCAAAGAGAGGCTATAAAGAAAGATTAAGCGCACGTTTACCATGTGTGTAGATGTTTTGCGTTTGGCACAATTTTAAAAAGTTCCCACGTCAAAAAATTTTTTTGAGAAAGCGTAAAATGTTGGTCAGAGCTTGTACTCATACAACTACACCACTTAGAAGAACGCATCCATTCCTCAAGTTCCGATAGGAGGACCGACACATTGTGTCGCTGAACAACGCGCCAAACTCAAGCGGCAGCAGTCAAAGACAACAACCATTGGGACCTTGTTCAAAAGGTTCCATGCATATTGGCATGCTGCAAATTTGTCAGTGTTTCAGTCTTGCTTGCTACTATCCATCCCGCCTACCTATGACAGAAACATCTTGCGGAATACGGACCAAATGCGGAAAGTGCAGTTGCCGCAATCGCCAATTTTTGCCTCTCAAAAAATTTTGCTTTGATAAGTTGTAAAAGAAGGGGATTCAAGTTTGCTCCAAAAACGAACTGTAGAGCAAAAGTTTCTCTTTTTATTGGTATAGGTAGTTTGCCGTAAACCAACCGCTTCATCGAAAAACGGCGACAAAAATAAAATTTCTACGAACTTATGGAACGACCTAATACATTTGTGCTTTCCTTCGTTTCCACTAATGCTACTGGTACTAAAACTGTGCTATCCTTTACAATGATGCTAATGATATTTTAAAGGTTTTTGTCCTATTCTCGTCATTCTTGAAGAATCAAAGAGAATGTTGCAAAACAAATCGCTACTGAGAGGGAAACAGCAAAGAACGGGAGCAAAAAGCTAGTGGTGGGTGAAAAAGATTGCTTCTGGCTGCTTTTGCGGCGCCTCTCATCGCGAACGTCATCGTACATCAGTCTGCGCGCGGTGAAAGCTACTGCGCCTTATACCCCGGAAATTAGGGTATTGTGAATTGCTGCTTTACTCATACTACTAACCAAAGCAAAAAATATAATACAAATTTTCAATAAACAAGAATTTTGCTTTCCTAGAGCATTACCAAATATAAGGTAAGATTTGCACCAAAATCATCAGTTTTCTAAAGAGAGACGATTTTTAATCATAAAAAACTAGAACACGTTGGGATGTTTTTTAAGGGGAATTAAACTCGACAACAGAATTTTTGGTTGAATTGATCTCAAGAATATATATTAAGTCATTCGGAAAGTTTTTTCGTTTTTTGCGCCTTCAATGTTGTTCTAGATTTCAAGAGAGTGCCAGAGGGCACATACTCAGACAATCGCTGGGGGCAGGCGGGCACCGGAAAAATAGATTGCTGATTTCTCGCACCCCGCTCGCGGATTTTTTGCAAAGCAATCAGAACTTTTCGGAAGACCGCTTGCTGAGTCAGCGGATTTTTGAGAGACCGCCTGTTGAATTTTTTTTCGCTCTTATCTTTTGCAGATATATTGCTGAATCTCTGAGGAATCGAGAACTCAGCAAGCGGTCTTCCGAAAAGTCCTGATTGCTTTCCAAAAGATCCGCAAGCGGGGTGCGAGAGATCAGCAATTTATTTTTCCGGTGCCCGCCTGCCCCCGGCGATTGTCTGAGTAGGGGTTGCTATATACGGATCTGTAGAGGAAGTCTTCTAGTTTCTGAGGATCCCACCGAACTTGCAGAAAGCGCTTTGTAGGGAAGTTTACGCGAATTTGAATTCGACATATGAAAACGCAATTTTCGAATAAGTGCATTCTCTAAACTTAAACTCGGGTGGCAAGACAGTTGAGGAAACCATCATTGAATGCATTTGCCAAAGCCACATCTCTCTTGAGGTAGTTCAAGTTTACTTCAAAAAGTAAAATCCAGAGAAGTGAAAGTTAATGTTTTGCAGTGTTCTGAAAGGTGTTCCTGCCACATAAACGAGCATCTAGGGTCTTTTAGAGCATCGCAAATATAACTGCGTAAAATTATCGGCAGATAGAAGTGTCATATAGTCCCATGAGAAGCCATCTTCGCTAAAGCTGCAATACCGAAAAATGTCAGTGACATATACCCCACAAACTGTCGCACTCGCAAATTGAGGGCGCTTTGACTCTGCTTTCGTTGCTCATGATTTGATGGAGCAATCCTTTTTGGCCTGGGTTATTGATTACAGCAAAAAATTGGCCAAGTACGCTTACAAAAAGCGACATTATGGTAACTTATTTGGAATAAGCATTCAAAGCATGGCCAGAATAGTCAGTCATTCCAAAAGGTTAATGTACTCAAAATGATGTAATCCTGCTGGTCTTGCATGCTATTAACTTGCTAAGATGCGATTGTACTGTAAGAGCAGAGTAGTGTGTTATCGCTAAAACTGAGCAGATTTGCGCGTATAATTTATGAGAGGTGCCATTCCCGCCCGCAATGCCATTAAACCACATGTAGGAAAGATGGCTCTCACAGAAGGGGGTGACTGCGCACCAAAGTTCCTGTTTATTTTTTAAGGTCTCTGAACGTTTTTTTTATCGACCAGCAAATTTTCCAGTTCCTAGGTGCCTATTGAAAAATAACAGGACCCAATAAAGGTTAGCTAGTCAAAAACGCCTTTTTAAGCTTTATTGATTCCTCTGAGATTTTTCGCAAGAAAAAAGTACAAGGGCAACAAGAGTGGAGCGTTGCCAGAAATTTGCTGAACACAATGCAATTTATTCGATGGAAAAAGGCTGAATGTGGAAAAAAGCGTACTCGTTTGAATTTGAAGATACAAACGAAAAAAACTTTCCCAATATACCTAATAATAAAGGCAGCGACGCTCTTGGAGAAATTTTTGTAGAGTTGATTTGATTTGTGAAAAGTTATCTCAGCAATTTACAGATAAAAACAAGCTCGCACAGTTTTTGAAGATTTCGCTTCAATTCTTTAATTTAGTGGACGCGTTTTCTCCATTTATTCTACCACTTTTCGGCGTAGTACTTCCGATGAGGTTTGCCCCAATCAGGCTTACATGATAAGTTACATGATAATTCGTAATCATGATAAGTATTTATGTGCATTCTGATAGATTGGTAAGTAAATCGCTTTCTGTTGCAGTTTGAGAATAATCATAGGCCGTTGAGCATACCTAGTTTGACGTTGTTCTTGTTCCCACTATTTCGATGATAATGCAAATCTGTTACAGGTTGGTTGGGCAAAATCCTACAAAGTCGGTTGCGGTATCAGTCGCTGTACTGACGGTACTGTTGTGGTGTGTCGTTATAATCCGCGGTAAGCAAAACTCTTTCTGATCTGCAAATATTCGATCTACAATAGGCATAGCGATTGGCATTATTACGTAACACTAATTCTTTCGAATTCACTTTAGTCTCCATGCTGATTCCCTTTCAGCTTTGAGTGCGGTGTCATACTCTCCTGTCTTTGAAAATTCACTGGTCAAGAAGTCGATGAGTGCGTTTTACGATCGACTTGGACTATTGTCGTTCGAAGATTGAGTACTTGTTGTGTATACTATCTGTGAGCTAAGACTCGTTTGCACGTGCATCCCTGCGGGGACGGGATATGTAATTTACCATTGAAATGATCTTCGCTGGGAACCCCTGTATGCACACAGACATTATCGGCGAAGGGATCCTCTGGAAGTAGAGAACAGTGAGACCTTTTATGCACAGGGGTATCGAGAGGAGGAATCACTTCGCTACTGCTTAAAATAGTTATTGCTCTCTTCTCATGTTTTAACAGTTGCCCATCTTCTACTCGTCATCGGCAATTCAGGCGTTTCGAGATACGCGTGTGTCGCAACTGCGCGCGCACCAGAAGTAATATTTTCCACTCCCATTATATTCTGCTGTTGACATGCATGCCGCTCACTTTCGCCTATGCTGCTCATTTCAGCGTAAGGGTGTTCAAACAAATTTAGTCAATACGACTTTGCTGGGGAATTGGTAGAAGACGAGTGTTGCCGAAAAAAAGGGGGGGGGGGAGCCGCGAGGACACTCAAATCAGCATTTCTACACGTAATAGGGGTTTCAAATCGTGCCAGCTCTCCATGAAGTCTGTAGCTATTGGCAAAATATCGTCCATTGCCCCAAGGAAATGATCCCCATCGGCCATACATGCTATGCACGAAACGAACGCTAGGGAAGGGATCACTTCCTAGAGATCTCTACAGAAATAGGCGCATTTGCTAATTTTCAATTTTTATTTCAAAGCAGCTTTTGTTAAGATAACAGATAAGGATAAAGATAACCATAGATAGATAACTCTAACTTAACTATCAAGTAATATGATAGTTACAACCTGTGCAGTCATCCTGTATGGATAAAACTGTCACGTTTTATGAACGCGCAAATCTGGTGAATGATCAGAAACTCCTGCAAATATTCAAAAATGGCAGATATAAGCTCGGGTTTCTTTACGAGAAAAGACAAAATCGCAAGGCACAGGCTGCTGAAAGAAAAACCCGTTTCAAAGAAAATCTTTCACGACATTGAACGAAACCAGAATGTACCAGAATATACCTCGCATTTCAAAGGTTCGACCTTCTTTGAATCTTGGCATGGTAATCCGATATTGATTTTTGCTGTAGCTAAGCCAAGATGGTATGACGCATCCTAGATCAATCAAAAGGGCAGTCATCACCAACATGTTCAGAACGGCAAGTAAGATCGCATCCGGCACCGAGGAACGTCTGGCATCAATAAAATTGGCGCACGACGTGGCAGAAAGATTCCATGAGAGAATGCGGCCAGTCTCAAGCTCGCGTGGTTCGGAGAGCGGCAAATTTGTCTGATAACATGGTCCCCTTTTGTCTGCCGTATGTATCGGAAGAGTTAAGTAGAGCGGTGAGAACCTGTCTACGTCAAGCTGGTTTGCAGGACTCCGTAAGAGTTGTGGATATTCCACCCTCTAACCTGAAGCGGCGGCTAGTGCGAAATCGAGCATATGATCGCCTTTGCCTGAACCCAAACTGCGCAATATGCCCCTATGGTAAGGATGGCGACTGCACCGCAACCTGGGTACTTTACCTAATAACATGTCTCTCTTGTAATGAGGTGTATGTTGGGGAAACAGGGCGAGCACTTTCAATTCGGATCAAGGAACATCTGGATGGCCTCAGGATTTCAAAATCCTCAACGCCTTTGGGAGCGCACCGCCAAAGGAGCCACGACGATGCTATGTTTGATATTAAGGTCACGATCTTGTCGTACGAACCGGAAACTGTAGCTCGCAAAACTCTCGAAGCGTTTTGGATAATTGCAAAAAACCCAAAATTAAACAGGAAAGAAGAATGCATAACCGTGACACAAGAGCTCGCACTCCTACCAGACCTTATGTAATTTTGATCTAACTCAGTAAGGTTGCGTTGGCGGGCTGCGTTGGCGGGCCCTCGGGCCTTAAATATGCGCAATATTCGCAGTGGCCAATCACTTCCTCTCATACGGGTGGTCTTGGCTCCAAAAACCGCTGTATTACGGTGAGCGTTTGCTTTGTCTTTCCTCAAATACTGCTTTTGATCTCATTTGATCTCTTGAATTGATCGCTGTGGTCAGATGCGGCGTCTGAGGGGGTATGTCACCAAATGGTCTTTGATTTCCAGGCTCCGACGAAGGCGAGGACGCCGAAACGTCAGCCATCAATAAAAAGATCATACCATCTTGGCTTAGTTACAGCAAAAATCAATATCGGAGTACCTCGCATTGTTGAGTTAATTTCGTGCATACGGGGTAGGGAAGGAAAGGGATCCCCAATAAGGTTCGTTCGATGACATCTCTGGAACCAAACACTGCCAATGAGTTTGAGGAGCGAAGGAGCACTGCAAAGGGATTAATAATCTGAAAAACACTGAAAATGCGAAATGCTGCACACTCACGAGTTCTTCTGTAGGAGAGTATACCGCCATAACATAATTAGGAAAAATTAATAAGGTTCACTGCTAATTACGCTCACACTAAATCAAAAAAACAACATCACTACTACTGACATCAACTCAGACAATTCACAGAAACTTCCGCAGGGCAAAGCTTTTTTTTTATTGTTGCAAAAGTGAAAACGTCAAAAATGGGACTTCCGCAGAATTTTCTCGTTAGACAGGATGAAAACAAGAAATTCCGTAGGGCTTTATACAAAGCGCCGCGGAACTTCCGAAAAATGCCAGCGGTCCCGCAGCATTTTGACATGCCAGTACTTCCGCAGGGTTTTGAATGTGTTGTCTAATACAACTTGCCTCGGCAACAACTAGAATGCATTATCTAACATGTCAGTCGTAGTGCAGAGCATAGTAAGTGAGTCTCACAGTCAATAAAGTAAAGTTCAAATCTTGCTTCAGTGTTCTCTTTTGCTGTTGTAGTTCGCATTCTTCAGAACTTGCGCAGCACGTTTACGGAACTTCCGCATGTGACCCGGCGGAACTTCCCGAACGTTCTGCGGAAGTTCCGGTCAGTTGTCTGAGAAGTAACGAGTACAGCGAAGCTTTGAAATCAGATATGGGAAAAGAAGAAAAAGTGAAAGATACAGAGAGATACGATGAGAGGGTCGAAAGGAGGAAAGTAGAAAGGGAAGACAAGCGAAATCAGTATTCTTTTACAATTTGTAAATTTTGTCCGAAAAGCTATTCTTTTAAGAATTGATTGAAAACAACTTTTTTTGGCAAGGTATTCTAGTAGCATGAGGCAGATGCGAGTACCACAATCACATCATTCCCGCTTCCCCCCCCCCTCTCCTCTGTCATAGCGGAGTCTAGTGAAGAAGACTGTTACCTTGGGATCGTTCAGCTCCCCTCTCCTTTCCAGCGGGGATATGTGCATAGGAGTTAAATGGCCAAGAAGAAGAAGAACATTTCGAAATAGCAGGTTGGCACATAAGTTTCTCAACTTTGTCCATAACTTCTCCCTTTTTGAATGAGATGCCACTTGCAATGATGCAAATCTACGCAAGCTGTTTTGCGAAGATAAAATGGAAAAATTCACATTGAGACTTTAGGTTCTTTATATAAAAGGAAAACTCACACAAAGTGTTGACCAAATGGAACCGGAGTTTAGGCAAAATGTTGTCACGGGTTTGCAATAGTCGTCCTCACGCTACTAATCGCTTGGTGTCAAAGACGAATCTGAAATGGAGCAGGCCGGCTGAGGTAGAGCGCGGCCATGCCAACCCTCAGTTGAAGCTTGGCGTGTTATTTGTTTTTTTTTCTGTCGTTACATGCTAATTTTGAGTTTCAGAAAAGCTCGTGAATACAACGTGCGACTCTGTTGTTATTGAGCGGTGTTACATACAACTATTTTGTCTTCAATTCTGCTTACAAGTAAGCTTGGAGAAACAATGAATATAGCAAATTTTTGCTTCTAAGTTTTTGTATGCCAAGTTCTTGTTTGGCAAGTGACTTATAGTTACTGAAGTTTTGACTCACTAATTTTATGCTACCAATTCCTGTTAGCGTCGTTTCTCCAAGTTTAGGAGTTGAAGAAACGAGAACAGCAAACAATAATTTCTAGTGGAAAACCGCTGAAACACAAAAATAGCATGAAACGACGACGGAAACAGAGAAACATGACTGAGACTAAACTGGGAGCTGAGGGAGCCGCAGCCGGCTTGCTCTAGTTTAAATCCGAATTTGACCACCAAGCGACTAGTGGAAATGAGGACGACTATACTAAGCTCAGCGAAAAAAAACTGTAAGTTGGAGACATATTGAAATGTGGTGTGAAAAGTTTAACAAATCGGATGTATCTATGCTGCTTTGAACCCATCAATGCCAAAGAGTCGAAACAGTCAGATACTGGCGAAACTTTGCATAATGAACATTGTCGCTGAACACAAATATTATATTCAGTTGCTGTCAGAGAAGAAATATTCCCACTGAATTTTCTGTAACTCAACTTTTTCGTGACAAAATAAGCCTATCGCATGAAACGAATATCATTTGTAATCAGCCTATCGTATCACTCCCTAGACAAAGTTTCGTCGGAATCTGTGACAATTCGTTCTTCTTTCGCCTTCATTACCATCGTAGCTCGCAGATGGTAGAATTCGACAGAAGGTTGCGCCCGTAGCGTTAGTATCCATTATAGATGTACTAACCTAATAATTTACAATTAAAATAAATTCCTCGCCGGAAACCGTCGAGGACTGACTCGATAAAACCGAATCTGGCGTTATTATTTTTTGGACTTTCAGCGGAAATGTCTACCAGGAATACATCTATAAGAAAGGCACAACATGTGGCGCTTGCGCCAAAGAATGCAAAGATGGACTTTGTCCGGCACCTGCAGAATAGAAACCTTTGGGAGAACGGAGGACACTGACACATTTCTTGTTTTAGTTAAGCATCGCACTAATGATTTATTAACGTGCTTTGTATACTGGTATGCCACCTCTTTTCGTTAAAAAAAACTTCTATTACATTAAAGTTGTTTTAGTTTCTTCGTCTTTCTCGTTGATGTGCTCGTACGCAAAACTGTACTCAGCACGCTCTATCCCATTAATTAAGCAATCAATTCAACTTCTCCTAAGTGTGAATAACCTTACTGCGATGCTTAAAAACACACATCATATAGCATATTGTAGTAAACAAATAAACCTTTCATGTTAAAGCGTCTAAAAACAATGACATAAACATTTCAAAGCAGGTGACATATAACTCTCGCGGTTTTTACCGCAAATAGAATGAAAATTTTCAAATCAACCTTCTATTTTGTATTTGTACTAAAGATCAATGCATTCTTATGTGCACTATGTTTAGCGAGCTAATTTTGCAATCAAATGATGTCAAATTAGTAGAATTTAATAGACTCATTCGAGTTCAATAGTAAAATATCGGAAACAAAAAAGAGATGTTAGCGAAAGCTATTTCTTATGATTGTTTTTGCATTCGTTATGTGTATCCATCAAAGATGCTTTGGTTTGTTCAAAAAGAAATGCGTAAAAAATTCCTTTTGCTCTTTTCTGCTCGCATGCGGTGCTATTCCGTGCGTCGCCTTAATTTTGATAATGATCCGAAACAGTGTGAGATCAAGCTTATGCATATAAACTGCCTCGAAAGGTGTGAATTATCTTGGATAAAGTAGACATACTATTGCTGCTGTCTTTGTGGTAAAACAAAGGGCCGCATGCATTAACATCGCCGCTGGGTAGGGGATCGCAGTTTAGAAAGAAAGCTTCATATCCTGCTCCAGATATCTGGATTTCAGGATGTATACCTATCTGTAAGTATTCCTACCTTCCTTTACTATGAAATTATTGAACAGGAGCGAAGAGCTGTACAAGCCGCATTTTCCAGTATTTCTGATGATCCCCAGCGGCCGACCGTCTTTTCTTCAAAATCACTTTTCTTTCTTCGAAGTCAACGAAATCCTTCGTAAGTTGTACTTAGCCTCTAACACAACAGTGCTAAATTGCAACATTAGCAACATGTTTGTCTGTTACACATAGTCCACAAGAACTATCGCATTTAGCTTCTGGTACCAACTCCTTGCACTTTTTCGCAGTACATCCAGTTTTTGTACTAGCTTCAATGTACAAAGGCTGCTCACCTTGCGGTCTAAAGCAAAACAAAAAATTACCTCTTTCCAAATATTAAAGGAGAAAACTCTCACTTCCTGCTGTACACGCATGCGATAAGCACTCGTTTATCACATAACCGATGGGCACACCCCATCCTCAGCGACTTTAAATCATCTGAAATGCTCTGCAAAAATAAGCATAGTAACGATTCCGTTCATGGTTGAGCAGACAGGCAGTGATCGTGATTTCGCTCAAAGATAAGCTAAGACACAATGGCTCTCCTTCTTTTTGGAAGCAAATGTTTCGTTCAGAACTACATTACACTTTCTGCTGCATAAACTGATGGATATCCTGGATGCGCTTGTATGTGAACTGCAACATATCAAAAAAGTTCTACGAGGCCTAAGCAATCAAAAAAGTTCTACGAAGGCTAAGCACAACAGCGAGGACGGATCTATCTTGTGGTTTTGAAATTGATTTTTCAAAAGACATTTTAAGCATAGCGTGTCTTGAGTAGGTTTATTACCGAACTATGCTTACCCGGCTCCGCCCGGCCCTATCAAAACGCTATGTCAAAGAACACTATCCCTATTCCTGTACGAACCTTTTCCTGTGCCCACGCCTACATGCCAAATCACTATTCCCGCTGTTTTAGTAAACAGCATGCTCGATTACCCTCTGTGCCAACTCCCAGTCCCGTAGCTCAAACTTTGCAAAAAAGCGATAAAATCGATAAAAGTAATGCACGATTTCAAAAAATAACATTGTATTCGTAAAAGCATGCCGTTACCCCCCTGTGCCAACTCCCAGTCCCGTAGCTCAAACTTTGCAAAAAAGCGATAAAATCGATAAAAGTAATCGATAATTCTGAAAACTAGTATTGTATTCGGAATCCCCATGCTCACTTACCCTCCCCCTGTGCCAACTCCCAGTCCCGTAGCTCAAACTTTGCAAAAAAGCGATAAAATCGATTAAAGTAATCGATAATTCTGAAAACTAATATTGTATTCGGAATCCACATGCTCACTTACCCCCCTGTGCCAACTCCCAGCCCCGTAGGTGAACTTTGCAAAAAATCGATAAAAATCGATAAAATCGATATCGATCGATGACGAAAAGTGGCCTATGACATCCGCCGGGGCCCGATGTGTATGTTGGCAAGTTTGGTTCGGATCGGTTCAGAAATGGAATTTTCTATTCGGAACATACGTACAGACAGACAGACAGACAAACAGACATTCAGCTTTATATATAAGATGATCATCCCCGAGATTAGCTATATTAAGGCAAAAAAATCTGAAATTGATCGTCAGAAAACGAGCTTAAACTTTGGGGAAGGAGATTAAAAAAACGGACAGTTGTGACTTAACGAAGGCTTGTGAAAATCCCGAAGCTTAAGCAATACCATCTTGGGATTTACGATTGATAAGTGCAAGTAGGATAGAAATAGTCTTATCCTCTGGCAATCGGAATGTCGCGGCTTCAAAGCGTGTTACTTGGTTCGCCGCGGCCTTCAAAATCTTCATTTTGACAACCCGCGGGCCTCGAAATTTCAGCCTCGCACGCTGCGACCCATGATTTTTTACCGGGAAAGCCGCGACCAAGGCTGAACTGAGGAAAAGATTATCGGGAGCGTCGCGACCCAAACACATAACCCGGTGGGCTGAATAAGAGGAGAAGCGCTAGAGCGGATGTTACCACAACTCCGCCAGAGAAGGAATAACTGTCTTGAACAGCATACTGACTGACTCCACCAACGAAGTCTTCAATTCTTCATCTCTTACCTTACGCATACCTTGGAAGCGAAAGAAATCAATTTATTTCTGCTTAACGCGTTTCGGACCGGTGCTGCACATGGTGCAGCACGCTGTTTTGAGGGATTTTTTGAAGTTTACAGGAGGTTTTAGTACAAGGTTATCAAGTTAAAGGCTTAAGCTCCTATTTTCAAATGAGTCTATAGAGTTATAGTCTATAGAGTTCTGCAGCGGATATTTGTTCAAGAGGTATGAGAACAAATCGAACAACATTTCAACGAAGTGCGGCAACGCGAACGACGCGTGCGACGTTGCAATTTTTCTTTGCTTCAATTTCAAAGAGAAAAACCGTAGTTTTAATACTGATGTGTACCATGTACAACGCAAATACTTTTGGATACTATTAGAAACTGAGTTCTTGTTCCTATCTTTCAGGAAAGCACAGAAGTCCTTCACCTAAGACAAAATTCAAACACTTCGAATTCACTCAGAACTTTTAGGTATGGAACTTATCTGGCAAGCTGATTACAGATGTAGCACACAGTCTACAAAATAAGGTCCCTTTGTTGGCTAGTGGCTGAAAGTGGGGTGTATGTCGAGGCGCGCATTCCCTCAGCCTTCATTGCCAGACTGGGTCAGTTCTCTGCAAAAATCAAGGTTTTCAGATTGCGAGGTTTTTGTCAGTACATCAGATATAAAGAAAGATAACCAGTTGAAATCCGATAGCATTAAAATAAATTTGAACTTATTTCTGGCTTCTCCCATTTAGGCTGGGTTCATACTGATTTCCTTGTTCTGGAACTGTGCTGCATGCGCTGCAGCCGCCCCGCACCGTTCTGAACGGCAGGAGTTGGAGAATTCTAACCGTTCTCAACGGTTTTTCTTCCAGATACGCTCATTTTGGCCTTATTCCTCCACCCCGTTTCTTTGAAGCTGGGTTGAGAATTGAACGCTGTTCTGCTTCATGACTTCGTTCGCTCGTCCTTTCTCTGCCATTTTTGTTCAGGCCTACTTCATGTGTTCTAGAGACTTGTCTATTTCAGTTTCAATATAGAAGCGAGACCACGCAGCGACTTGTTAGTACACATGAAGTAGGTCTGAACAAAAATAGCGATGAGAGAATAGACGAGCGCAAGAAGGCCCATATTCCCGGATACATGGTGCAGAACAGCGTTCAATCCTCAACCCTGCTTCAAATTCACAGCTTTTCTCATCGCTAGGAGAAGCGGGGTAGAAGAGAGAACGGAGAAGCAGCGATATGAAACGAAAAAGGCTGCGAACGCCCAAACTCATCAAAAACAAGAGACAAGTCCCAACTCATGCAATTTCAGGATTTCTCCTACTCCCTAATTCGTGGCAGATGGCTATGGAAACTGGGCAGCCGCTTCCTGGAACAGATGAAGTAGTTTCGAGCAAAAAAACACAAAGACATAATGAACAATCGCACAATAGCCCATCTTTCCGAATACACGGCGCAGAAAAGCGCTCATTCTTCAACCCCGCTTCGAGTTCGAAGTTCTGCTGATCAAAAAGGGAAGAGGGGCTGAGGAATAAGGCCAAAATGAGCGAAATCTGGAAGAAAAACCGTTGAGAACGGTCAAAATTCTCCAACTCCCGCCGTTCAGAACGGTGCGTGGCGGCTGCAGCGCATGCAGCACAGTTCTGGAACTGTTCCCGCACAGTTCCCGCACATTTCCAGCACAGTGCGAGAACTGTGCGGGGACAGTTCCAGAACATGGGAATCAGTATGAACCCAGCCTTAATAAAAACCGATCAATGCGCGCCTTAGGCTGCGTTCATACTGATTCCCATGTTCTGGAACTGTTCCCGCACAGTTCTCGCACTGTGCTGAAACTGTGCGGGAACTGTGCGGGAACTGTGCGGGAACAGTTCCAGAACTGTGCTGCATGCGCTGCAGCCGCCCCGCACCGTTTTGAACGGCGGGAGTTGGAGAATTTTGACCGTTCTCAACGGTTTTTCTTCCAGATTTCGCTCATTTTGGCCTTAATCCTCCACCCCGCTTCCCTTTTTGATCAGCAGCACTGCGAACTTGAAGCGGGGTTTGAAGAATGAGCGCTTTTCTGCGCCGTGTATTCGGAAAGATGGGCTATCGTGCGATTGTTCATTCTGTCTTCTTGTTTTTTGCTCAAAACTACTTCATTTGTTCCAGAAAGCGGCTGCCCAGTTTCCATAGCCATCTGCCACGAATTAGGGAGTAGGAGAAATCCTGAAATTGCATGAGTTGGAACTTGTCTCTTGTTTTTCATGATTTTGGGCGTTCTTAGCCTTGTTCGTTTTTCCATGTCGTTGCTTCTCCGTTCTTTCTTCTACCCCGCTTCTCCTAGTGATGAGAAAAGCTGTGAATTTTGAAGCGGGGTTGAGGATTGAACGCTGTTCTGCTCCATGTATCCGGTATGGGCCTTCGTGCGCTCGTCCATTCTCTCATCGCTATTTTTGTTCAGACCTACTTCATTTGTTCCAGAGACTTGTCTGTTTCAATTTCAGTACGGATGCGAGACTACGCAGCGACTTGTTAGTACACATGAATGGGTCTGAACAAAAATAGCGATGAGAGAATGGACGAGCGCACGAAGGCCCATATTCCCGGATACATGGAGCAGAACAGCGTTCAATCCTCAACCCCGCTTCAAATTCACAGCTTTTCTCATCACTAGGAGAAGCGGGGTAGAAGAAAGAACGGAGAAGCAACGACATGGAAAAACGAACAAGGCTAAGAACGCCCAAAATCATGAAAAACAAGAGACAAGTTCCAACTCATGCAATTTCAGGATTTCTCCTACTCCCTAGTTTGTGGCAGATGGCTATGGAAACTGGGCAGCCGCTTCCTGAACAAATGAAGTAGTTTTGAGCAAAAAACAAGAAGACAGAATAACAATCGCACGATAGCCCATCTTTCCGAATACACGGCGCAGAAAAGCGCTCATTCTTCAACCCCGCTTCGAATTCGCAGTGCTGCTGATCAAAAAGGGAAGCGGGGTGGAGGATTAAGGCCAAAATGAGCGAAATCTGGAAGAAAAACCGTTGAGAACGGTCAAAATTCTCCAACTCCCGCCGTTCAAAACGGTGCGGGGCGGCTGCAGCGCATGCAGCACAGTTCTGGAACTGTTCCCGCACAGTTCCCGCACTGTTCCCGCACAGTTCCCGCACAGTTCCCGCACAGTTTCAGCACAGTGCGAGAACTGTGCGGGAACAGTTCCAGAACATGGGAATCAGTATGAACGCAGCCTTATGACCGTCTCTCCTGAAAGTGCACTCTTTTTCGCTGCGCGCGATTTCGTGGCCCGAAACGTGTTAAGACAAAAAAAAACAACGAAGAATTTTTCTCTACCACTGACTTTATATTGCTTACAAGTAGTGTATCAAAAAGCCCAAAATTTCAGTCAGCGCGTTTTCCAAATTGTGTGCTTGAGCTCCACCGATGAAGACAAATCCGAATCCAGTCGAGGTAAGCACAAATACCGATTATAGCTTCGAGGCTTAGCGCTCCTCTGGCATAAATATTATGCTCACAGCTTCTTCTTGCTACAGTAGAAATTTGGAGCCGAACACTTACCCCAAAAAGAACCATTGCCTTTTTGACAGGCCCACTCAGATCAAAATCAGCCGCCCATTTACGTGTATTGTAAAGTGCAGTCACGGAAAATCGGGCGTACAGACTTTAAAAATTCAAAACTCTTTAGAAAAGAATGATATCTTTCAAAGTGTCAGAGACTCTGGTATTCCGGGGTTGAAGAAAAGGAAGAAATGGTTGCTTTGGAGCTCTCAAGAGAGAGGGGGGGGGGTGAGGGTTAAGTCTTTCCGAGAGTCTTGTGTCTGACCTTTTGCTCGACTCTGCTAATCACTACACCATTGCGTACCTGCGACCTTGGCCGTTCCAATCGTATTCCCCTCGGGCAGCCAAGCTTGGCGCGAAAATCCTTACCTTCTTTTAGAGAGATGATTGGCAGAAGCAGATTTGGTGTCAGCGTTCCGAGGCAAGTGTGAAGGCATACATCTCATCTTAGAAGATCACGGACACCGAGTGTCGTTTCCTTATCAGTGTGACGCATCTCGAAATGCTTGTCCATGTACGGTATGTTGTATTATCATGAAAGCTATCGCATAATAGTTAACAGGACGCTCGGCATCCTAACTTTTGTGTAGGTTACTTACACTGAAGCAAAAGTTCAATTTGATACTTGAGAAACAGCTAGCCACCGCATTCTGCCCTTCTTCTATCTATAAATGATTGTTCTCTAAATTCAATATGGCAAACGAGTCATGCACTTAGCAGCAGAGACTGCTGAGAAGCTGACCGTAGAAACCTTTTATTTTTCAAAAGACTGCAAGGTATTTGCGCCACTCAAAGTTATATGGTATCTACAAGTTTAGATCACACTATCTTCAAGTTTTTTGTAATTTGATGCCTGTAGCATACCATGCAGCTGGTTACTTGAAAGACTAGATCCTGCTCATTTCAGTGATTTCCCCTTTTCTTTTCCCTTTTGGTTTGGGATTTGTACTGATCAGTAGTGTCAGATATCGGGTTACAAATGACGAAGATTAGACAAAGTTTAAGGCTTGTGCGCCCAGGTTTAATTACCCAAGTTTGAGGTGTTGACGTGTACGGCGGTTTCTTCGCGACTACCTGTGTTATTCTGGTATTCTCTGTACCGTATTTCTACTTCAGCGAACCGCGCAGCAGTTCAACGTTCAGGGCAGCTCGATCGAAGCCCCAGTGTCAGAACGAAGCCAGGCCGACAAGATAGTAAAATGGGAATCAAATCAGCCCTCCTAATTTCTTTGTCGGTTCTTTAAAATTTTAAATTGTTTTGCTTTAGAATCTGGGACCCCCCCCTTCGTTTTCCCACATTTCTCTTTGGGGCCCCAGCACAAAAATGTTTGAAAACTTATACAAAATACCATATTCCTGATTGATACTCACATTTGCAAAGGTTGCGGGAACATTTTTGTACGTAGCAGCGCTAAGTGGTAGTGGTATATCATTTTTGGCATCGTCACGCCATTCTTTAATTGTGGTTTCATACGCTTCCTGTATTTTTGTTGTTTTGGTACTACCTAAGATCGTCCTGAATAGAAGTTTTGCACTTTCGCAGCGTTGCTATGTCCCATAACAGACTTTTCGCAACTGATGGAGTAATCGTAAGCGTCCACAAAAGTTTTGTCGCATCTACAGTTCACAACAGACGCATATGCAATTCCCTGTAGCGCACAATCATAGTCCTGAAAACCAATTTGTTTGATAAATGGGCCAAACACACATATTAAAAAAAATCATCTATCATTTTTTTTGAAATTCTGCGATGTGTTTGATATGAGATAATCAAATAGATTGAATTTCAAACAAGTTTTTCAAAAAAGTAGATAAATTTCAATTTCGTTTTCGGTGTGGATTGGCAACTATATTATGAATTTTGAAGATTTGTCAGCACTTTACTGCGTCGATGGAGGAAAATTCGAACTTTACAATAACTTTCAGACACAGATCACTTTTATGCAAATTTTGCTTATTGTTAGTTAAAAAATATCAGAAACGGTATATATTAGGTCATCTAGAGGGCCGGGCACACATTTCGCAATTTCATCGTCTTGCGATTCCCACAGCAAGACAACTGTTACGAGTCCTTTGCATTCTGATCATTTCTAACATTCGGTTGTGATAGTTAATCAGAGCGACCAATCGCTAGCCATTTTTCCCGAGCATACTTGCATCACTGAAATCATCGCGATCTGCCCGAATCCCAGCAATATCGCGTCGCTGACTTCAACAGAGCGACGCAACCTGATCGCTGAGATTGCAGTTCTTTTCTGAAAGTTCCTATGATCGTTTCTTAGCTTTTTGGGCTGTATTTTTGTCAGCTATCTCAAAAATAGTTCTATTCTGCCAGAGTATGTTGCTTCTCCATAATCCCTCTTGTATCCATTTTTGGCGCTATCCGTGACCCAAAATTTTGAAAACGCTGAATTTAGAGAATTTCGCTCAGACTTGGCTCAGGCGTGTCAATCGACCTATTCGACCTGCTGGTGCCGATTATCACGCTTAATTTGTGCGGTAGCGCCAGTTTCTGGAGCTAAAGTGGGTATACGGTAGAGGGTCAAAATCGCGGATACTTTCTGAATTTATTTTGGGGGAGGGGGATCCATTGCGCGCTGAACATGACTAACATGATGATTAGGAAAGCGAAAGCGCTACTTAGGCAAGCGTTACTTTCTTGCAAATTGTTTCAACCACAACAATTGTTAGCATTTCTTATGTTGTCAATTTAGATACAAAAAAGTCTTGGATGGACTCCATCATGCTAAACGAACACAATAATCGTGATCAGAACATCAAATGAGTTCACTGCTTTAAGGTTTAAGCAAATCTATGACTTTGACACCTACCATATACTCGCCGCAACTCCGCGTTATGTCCCAAAACGCGATGTGAGTGATTTTTGAGATCAGCATGTTGAATAACTAGTCTAAACAGAATTCCGGCAAAATCTATGGTTTTTGCCCCCTTAGGTATTCCTACGTGAGCCCAGAAAATGTCGTTTTACCAAGCATAGTGATTACGATATTTGGCGTTAGTGGGTCGAATAACTTCTTTGAACCAGTTTGAGAAAAAGCCGCGAATTTATAATATTGAGGCCCAAATACTGGAATAGAGTCAAATTTTGATGTGATCCCACTGTTGGAATTGATTCTGGCCTACAAAGTGAAAATACAAATGAAAAAATCAAGCCGATTAGAACACAAATACTTATAAGTAATATACTTGTAAGTATTAGGTTGTTGCAAAAATAATGTCCGTTTTGCAAAATTTCACTTTGAAAAGCTATAACTTCGTTCAGTCTTCATATTTTTGAATGCAATCAAGACCATCAGATGCAGTAAACCTTTCGTAATCTAAGGCGCACCTGCATATACTGATATCGCAAACGGGAAGAAAAACATGCGTCAAAAATCCAAAAGTTTTGCTTTTGAAGACCTCGTTTTTGGAAGATTACAAATTCCTTCAAGTTTTCTTGTTATGGCTGCTAATCAGCTTATTTTGTAGATGCAACCCAGTAGTATACGTTTGTATAAAAAGAACTTCAGCGAAGAAGTTCTGCGAATTAAAAAAGATAGAAATCCAAAATTGTTCACTTTTTTAAGCCTATTTGTCATAGGCTTGGAAGTCCCAAACTATGAAAACTTGAAATTCTTCATGCACTGAATAGCTAAGTTTTTCTGCATAAATTGTAGATAAGATGTCCTTACCTCAAGCCTACAGAAATGAGCGAAGTTTCAGCGATTGCCCTAATCAGGAAAAATTTCGAACCCATAGAGTTCCAGGCAGCGAGTATCTTTTTTGAAGCTCGATTTGTCAGTTCAGGTATATTCGAAAAACTTATTTAAACATGCAATAAGTAAACAATATTTATCCTATACAGTAGCTATGTTTTCAGAAGAATTCGTTTATTTGCGTCTGATTTCTGGCCAAGAGAGTTGGAGCAATGAAATTCCGATTTTGAGTGCGGCTGTTCAAAATGCTGGTGAAAATCTTACATATGAGATGAAAGCTCAATTTTACCACCGTTAGAAAGTACATGAAGAAAGCTTTCCAATGATGTGCAAAATCTATGTCGAAAAAGAAAGCCTGAAGGAGAGAAGTTGTTTGGAATACACGCTTAGAAAAACGGACCTTATTTTTGCAACAACCTAATAGTTTGAGAAGGTATACTATGTGCTCTGGTGGGAAGATGCATGGATCGCCGCAGAAGTTTGCATGAGCAAGCAGTCGCCGCGATTTCGCCGCTACTTGCAGCAAATCGCGAACCACAAATTGCGGCGTGATATATGCCCGGCCCTTAACAGGTTATTATGATATGGCAAAAAATGTGACATTCTGATTTTTATCGTTTTGAGATTTTTTGTTTCAATCAACAACAAGCACTGCAACGTGAACGTCGCTTACATAAGCGACCTTCGCCTACTATTCTGGTAACGCGTTAACGCTCCTCCCCCACAAACCTGCGGAGGACGCTGTAGAGAACTCGAACAGGGTTTTTTGAACATATCTCATTTTTGCGCTGCTATACCGTAAAGTCATAAAGCAATTGACATATCATTCAAAAGAGCTCTTCATGCCCCCTTAAACAATGTATTAATTACTGAACAAAAAAAGCAAAGTACTTGAAAAATCGCGATTTTTTGGCGCAATAAAAACCAAAAAATCATATGAACAAATGAAATTTGAGGTAAACTGCATATGAGTGAGTGACTTTGTCAACAATAGCATGTGCCAGCCGCCATCTGGGTACCGTACGCAGTGCGCTGAACGCTCCGGAACGCTCCGCTTCCTGTTTGATTGACTTAGAAATACGTCGCTGTTATTGGAGCAGGTCTCTTACATTTCACCCATGCTTGTTGCAATTTAGAAATTATAGAGTAGATTACAAAGTTATCAATGATTCAAAAATCATCTTCCAAAATCATTTTTCATTCTGAAGTTATTTGTCTTTTTGATTTGTGGCAGTTTCTTATTCCTAGTATGTTGATCCAACATGGTATTACATTAAATTAGTCTCAAAATTTTTTGAAAAGGCTTCAATTCACGTTGTTTACCTATTGAATGTACTATTTTATGAAACAGTCTAAAGGCTTTGTTCATAGATAACCAACTTGTCAAATAAATCATTCTAAATCATTCTGCAGAAAACATCCGTGCCGTTTTTTAGCAAGTTAAAACCGAATAACTGAAAGCAGATTCTGTAGATTTTAGCAGTTAGCGAAACTTAAAAATTGAAAGTTGAGCAATTCTTGCTTTAGGGAACAATAATTGGCACAAACTCTTTTCCTACGATATCGTATCAATCAAGGCCATTTGCTGCAAATGGGTTTGCCATTTTTCAAAGGTTTCAGTTTCGTTCGATTAGGAAAAGCCGCATTTATTCATTCAAAATGTTCAGAACCGCTATTACTAAATTTGCTACATTATAACAAATGGTGCAGATGTTTACTTTCAATAATATTTTGAACGATCAGGAATCAGTTTTAGCAGATACTCGGCTTTGACTTGATGTTTGTCAAAATTAGTGAAATCTACTTCATTTGAAACTTTTCCAAGAAATCTGTTTTAGTAAAGAATAATTGTTCGTTACTTTCAAAAACTCTACTTTCGAATCAAATCGATTGGTAATTTGGTAGTTTGTACGGAATGCGCGTAAACCTTATCAAAGATCTAAGATCACTCACGCATGCCTGAGGTGTTTTGGATTGATATCACACCCCAAATCTGCTACAGAGGCACTCGGTCATTTATGAAATAAATCAGCAAAACACTCTAGTACCACGATAAGCACATTAGTATCTTATAAGTTGATGATATATCACCTAGCAAGCGACTCTGCGAATGGTTAAGCTTTTCCCCGGCTTGAAGCAAGCTTGTAAATTGCTATCAGGAACTGCCTTTAGTGAGCTAGTGAATATGGCCATGATCCGGTGCCAAAGCTCGTCAGCAGAAAACTCGTCCATACAGCGATAGGCGGGGCTAAATGCGCATCTTATTGACACATGCCTTCCTGGGCGCGCGCTATCTTATATATAAAGCTGAATGTCTGTTTGTCTGTATGTCTGTATGTCTGTATGTCTGTATGTCTGTCTGTATGTATGTACGTATGTTCCGAATAGAAATTTTTATTTCTGAACCGATCCGGACCAAACTTGGCACACATACAATACGGGCCCCGGCGGGTGTCATAGGCTACTTTTCGTCATCGATCGATATCGATTTTATCGATTTTTATCGATTTTTTTGCTGAGTTCACCTACGGGGCTGGGAGTTGGCACAGGGGGGTAATTGAGCATGGGGATTCCGAATACAATATTGGTTTTCAGGATTATCGATTACTTTTATCGATTTTATCGATTTTTTTGCAAAGTTTGAGCTACGGGGCTGGGAGTTGGCACAGGGGGGTAATCGAGCATGGGGATTCCGAATACAATATTGGTTTTCAGGATTATCGATTACTTTTATCGATTTTATCGATTTTTTTGCAAAGTTTGAGCTACGGGGCTGGGAGTTCGCACAGGGGAGTAATCGAGCATGGGGATTCCGAATACAATATTGGTTTTCGGGATTATCGATTACTTTTATCGATTTTATCGATTTTTTTGCAAAGTTTGAGCTACGGGGCTGGGAGTTCGCACAGGGGAGTAATCGAGCATGGGGATTCCGAATACAATATTGGTTTTCGGGATTATCGATTACTTTTATCGATTTTATCGATTTTTTTGCAAAGTTTGAGCTACGGGGCTGGGAGTTGGCACAGGGGGGGTAATCGAGCATGGGGATTCCGAATACAATATTGGTTTTCAAGATTATCGATTACTTTTATCGATTTTATCGATTTTTTTGCAAAGTTTGAGCTACGGGGCTGGGAGTTCGCACAGGGGAGTAATCGAGCATGGGGATTCCGAATACAATATTGGTTTTCGGGATTATCGATTACTTTTATCGATTTTATCGATTTTTTTGCAAAGTTTGAGCTACGGGGCTGGGAGTTCGCACAGGGGAGTAATCGAGCATGGGGATTCCGAATACAATATTGGTTTTCGGGATTATCGATTACTTTTATCGATTTTATCGATTTTTTTGCAAAGTTTGAGCTACGGGGCTGGGAGTTGGCACAGGGGGGTAGTCGAGCATGGGGATTCCGAATACAATATTGGTTTTCAGGATTATCGATTACTTTTATCGATTTTATCGATTTTTTTGCAAAGTTTGAGCTACGGGGCTGAGAGTTCGCACAGGGGAGTAATCGAGCATGGGGATTCCGAATACAATATTGGTTTTCGGGATTATCGATTACTTTTATCGATTTTATCGATTTTTTTGCAAAGTTTGAGCTACGGGGCTGGGAGTTCGCACAGGGGAGTAATCGAGCATGGGGATTCCGAATACAATATTGGTTTTCGGGATTATCGATTACTTTTATCGATTTTATCGATTTTTTTGCAAAGTTTGAGCTACGGGGCTGGGAGTTGGCACAGGGGGGGTAATCGAGCATGGGGATTCCGAATACAATATTGGTTTTCAAGATTATCGATTACTTTTATCGATTTTATCGATTTTTTTGCAAAGTTTGAGCTACGGGGCTGGGAGTTCGCACAGGGGAGTAATCGAGCATGGGGATTCCGAATACAATATTGGTTTTCGGGATTATCGATTACTTTTATCGATTTTATCGATTTTTTTGCAAAGTTTGAGCTACGGGGCTGGGAGTTCGCACAGGGGAGTAATCGAGCATGGGGATTCCGAATACAATATTGGTTTTCGGGATTATCGATTACTTTTATCGATTTTATCGATTTTTTTGCAAAGTTTGAGCTACGGGGCTGGGAGTTGGCACAGGGGGGTAGTCGAGCATGGGGATTCCGAATACAATATTGGTTTTCAGGATTATCGATTACTTTTATCGATTTTATCGATTTTTTTGCAAAGTTTGAGCTACGGGGCTGAGAGTTCGCACAGGGGAGTAATCGAGCATGGGGATTCCGAATACAATATTGGTTTTCGGGATTATCGATTACTTTTATCGATTTTATCGATTTTTTTGCAAAGTTTGAGCTACGGGGCTGGGAGTTCGCACAGGGGAGTAATCGAGCATGGGGATTCCGAATACAATATTGGTTTTCGGGATTATCGATTACTTTTATCGATTTTATCGATTTTTTGCAAAGTTTGAGCTAGGGGGCTGGGAGTTGGCACAGGGGGGTAATCGAGCATTGTGATCATCCCCAAGGGGGGTGATCAGCATGCTCGATTACACCCCTGTGCCAAATTCCAGCCCCCTGGCTCAAATTTTCAAAAAATCGATAAAATCGATAAAAGTAATGGACGATCTTGAAAACTAATATTGTATTCGTAATCTGCATGCTCACTTCCCCCCCCCCCTGTGCCAACTCCTAGCCCTGTAGGTGAACTCTGCAAAAAATCGATAAAAATCGGTAAAATCGACATCGATCGATAACGAAAAGTGGACTGTGACACCCGCCGGGGCCCGAAGTGTATGTGTGCCAAGTTTGGTCCGGATACGGCGGAGCCGGGTAAGCCAGCTAGTGGTTCATAAAGTCCGCCACCCACTGCATATGGGTGGATAGAGCGTAAAGAGCTTTATCAGACAACGTGTATTTATTTGCAAAGAAGTAAATAACACGCATCCTCGCTCCACAAAATGCTAATGACCATATCTCCAACTTTAACAGCGCGGCCAGCAAGCCATCGTGGGTTTCGTAACTGTACCTTCACCCATTGCAGCGGTGGTATTTTGGATGGTCTCATATGTTTGAGTGCGCAGATACTGATCGATGTTCATAATTTGTCGAAGTGGCTTTGCATTTCAGCAAGTATAGAAACTATCAAGAATACACGATTTATAGCAAAGACTAGGCGCCGTTGCGTCCGACCAAGGTAGTTCTTGCATGGGAGAGACAGCAAATTATAAGAGAAACGAAAAAACGCTCGATCGGAGAGACGCCGAAAGGTCCGCAGTCTTTGCCTGCTATGAGTCGCCTATATGTTGATGACCTTATGTGGGTATTGTCTGAAAAAAGAACAGTATATTTTTATACCTACCAAAAATGAAAGTTCAATCATTTATCTTTTCTGAGAAATCTACACTTATTCACTAGGTGCCCCAATTTTTACCATTCACCCTAATATTTACACTTATTTTGTTGAAAATCAATATATTACTTCTGTTTTACAGTTTAGAGCTAAACAATGACTGTTGAATATCCGAAGAACAACCATCTTAGCCGTCGAACTTAACATTTTCTGGCTTATATCCGCTTCTGTCTCATTACAAACTTACCAAAGCAAACATATTCTTGGACCCTATTTTGCTGTATGTAATTGCTCCATCACTATGTGCAAATTGACGTTGAGCAACCCCTTGTCGTACTTCATTATGCAATTTTAAGACTGCTGCTGGGTCCTTGAGACCAGTATCGCCACAATCCTCTAAAACTTGAGGTTCCACAGACGCTGCAAATTGCACGAATATTTACGTGGTTGACTGAGCCCCACTTGATTGAACAGTACAAAAAGGCACTTAAAATTCTGTAATCAGTTGGAAGGAAGAAAGACATGACAATACCGTAAGTAGACTGCGCATTCCAAGGGCAGCAAGGATAGTGTATTTTCAGTGAGAGTCTGAACTGCTATTCTTGACATTATATAAGTAACAGTCGAGACTACTTATCAGAAATGTGCTCTGCATACGTGCTACAGTATCATATATTTTTCTTTAAGTGAATTTTATGGACATCTTGTCAATGTCCATTATTGCTTTCGGTAGCCACAAATTGGGCCTTGCAACAAAAAATAAAAAGGTTTTATATCACTTCTGCGCCTGCAAATGAATTTTCGAAGCGTCCATATTAGGTTGAGTCAAAAGTAATGAGAACTCTCCATTTCGAACTTTCCGCAACACGTGTAGAATAGCGATAGAATAGCATCCTAAATTGCATAAAACGTAGCTTTTCTTTCTCTTTCCAGCAGTGAGGCCAATGTCCCAGTTGACTTCTTAGTTGTCGAAGAAATTTCCCAAATTTAGAACCCGTCATTTTTGCTTTAATTGTATTTGGCTAATCCTCAGAATTTTCAGTTTGAGATTTTTGAACAAATTCGATAACATGAAGACAAAGCAGGTCCTGCTTGATGCAAACCACTATTTAGGTTTTTCGAAACTAGCATTTCGAAGCCTTTCAAGAGCTTTTTTTCAAAACGCCCAAATTTTCAAAAAATGGCTCAAAACAGAAATGCGTTAGACCCTACAAAATCTATCGAATTTGAGAACTTCGAAAATAGTTTATCAACAAACGTTGATTCTGCAAGATAATCATGCGTTTACCGCCTCAAATTAGCACAATCTAAATTTTTTTGACAAATTTGAAAAAACCATGGAATTTGAACGGAAAACGCTTTGGGTTCAGAATTCCTGCAAATAATTCAGCAATTACTAGGTAATTTGGTTAAAAATTATAACTGTCGGAAAGAGTAAGAAAATCCGTGTCGGACACCATTTAGAGCACTTGCCTATACACATTCTACCTAGTTTGAGAGTAGGTTTGAAAAGAAATGCGATGTTCTCATTATTTTTGACTCACCCTAGTATATGTGCAAAAGATCATAATTCGGAAAGAGTTTTCTCTCAAAGATTTGTTTCATTTTGGCATATGGCTTTGAGTTTTCATTGCTTTTCGAGACTGAGATCTGCGCGCTACCAAAAGCTGGCCTAAGGCTTTGACAGTTCACAATCGCAAGCGACTACTTTACTTTTGCAGTTTATGTCCTGTCGATTAGTTGCTAATTATGACTTCCCCATTGCCATCTTGTGCATACATTTTTCATGCATGAATTAAAAATTTCGATTAACATGTTTTGGACCGCGAAATCGCGCGCGGCGAAAAAGAGGGTACTTTCAGCCGTTAGCCAACAAAGGGACCTTATTTCTCAAACTGTGTGCTACATCTGTAATCAGCATGTCAGATAAGATCGATACCCAAAGTTCTAAATGAATACGAAGTGTTTGAATTTTGTCGCTTGAGAAGTACTTCTGTGCTTTCTTGAAAGACAGAAAAAAAACTCAGTTTCTAATTGTATCCAAAAGTATCTATGTTGTACACGATACACATGATTTTTGAAACTACGGTGTTTCTCATTGAATTTGAAACAAAAAGTTGCGACGTCGCATGCGTCGTTCGCGTTGCCGCGCTTCGTTGCAACTGTTGTTCGGTTTGTCCTCATATCCCCTAAACAAATATCGGCGACACAGCTCTACAGAGTTATTTGAAAAGTAGGAGCCTGGATCTTTGACATGATAACCTTGAACAAAAAGAAAACCTCCTGTAAACGTTAAAAAGATCCTTCAAAGCCGCGTGCTGCACCATGTGCAGCACCGGTCCGAAACGTGTTAAATTAGGGTGTCCCATGATTTTTTTTCGACCGTTTTCAACCTAAACATCAGCATTTCTCGAGAACTGGGCACCTCAAAAGAGTTCAAATACATGACCATACTTTGGTATGTATAAGCATTATACGTGCGTGGGAGGAGCTCAGGACATCCAGGGGCGGGGTTTGCCATTTTACCATTCATTTTTTCCTTTATTTCTAGCCATGGAAAAATTATGGAAAGTGTAACAAGTTCGATGAGTCAAGCATATGCTAGGATAGATGGGAAATTTCAATTTTTTGGGGTGAAGATACGATTTTTGGGAAAGTAAAGTTTGCTTTCTGCTATCAATTTTTAGCTCCAAACTTCACGGGGAAGACGCATTTGGGCAAAGTCTTGATGGAGCTTGCTTTACCCTGTCGAATGATTACTCAAGCCACATCGAGGAAAAGATACAAAAAAACGACAGTTGTGGTAAAAACGGAGAAAAATCATGGAACATCGTAATACATATGATGAACTGTTGTTGTTGTTGTTGTTGTTGTTGTTGATTGTTAACATTGTTAACATTGTTTCACTTATGCAAAGAATTTCAAATTTTGAAAGTATATCTCAAAATCTACGATTTCACCCACTTTTAATTCATATATTAACCGAAACGCATTTCTTTTGTAGAATGGTTACCATTCTGACTAAGAGACATGTTCACTACGCATTAAACCGTGGATTAAGTAACGAATTTTTTTGTGACATCTCTAGAATGTGCGCAGATATTGAACCTAAGTCTGCAGCTGTGAGGCGCGTTAACCACTGAATTACGAAGGCGCTGCTTGGGCACTTGTAATATCTGTCCAGGCCAACATATTTTTATCATATAAGTCGCAATGCAAGACAATTATTGCTGTAAGGAATGTACTAATCAATCACAACTGCATTCTTCTATGCAATCACAAATTGAAATAAGTTAGAGATTTTGAAAAATATGCACACTATCATTCCTTTATTTGGATATTGAACCCGGATCGGCTATTGCGAGGCAAGTCCGCTAACCACAATACTACGAAGGTGGTGTTTGGTTTTTTGAAAAACGTTTTCATGTTAGATTACATCCTAGTAAGTGATCACTGATCAAAAAATCGTTTCTATAATCTAATTACAAGATGTATCAACGGTTTTAAGGTCTGCATATAACGTGGGCGAAAAAAAGCCTTTTTGAGGTGAGAAAAGAAACCGAGTCTGACTGCCGTGAGGCGCCTCCATAAGCCACTAGACTACGAGATTTGTGTTAAGGTCGCCGTTTATAAGCCGAGCATTAGCAATTAGAACGAATGCTGGGACAACTTGACAGCGTATGCGGAAAGTTGGGCCTACAGTTGAGATAACGAGGGCGACGTTTATGATAAGCAGAAGTGCCTGATACTTCTTTCATGTTCAACGGAAATAACATCTAACATCACCGAATGTTCAAGATATCGTCCCTTCCACACCTACCCTTGGTCTGCGTCTCAGACCTGCCACGTGTGGCTAACATCTTGGCAGCGTGGCAACAACATGTTTGCAACATGCCACAACATATTGGCAGAACATTTTGGCTACGCCAACATGTTGCTGCATGTTGCCAACGTGTTGCTGCCAACGTTGCCAATGGGTTAGTCACATGTGGCACGTCCGCGACGCACCAAGGGTGGCACGAGCTGTGGAGGGGACGATACATACACCTAGGTCGGGAAATCAACATGATGAACGACCTAGCACCGGAAGTGCGCAGGAGGAAAAGCAGCATGGGAGCATATGAAACAATTGAGGACGTAGTGAAAAAGACCTAGAACCTGCTTCGCGCTCACCTCTTCAACTCGACGGTTTTTTCTGCTTTGACATACGTTCTTAAAACATGGGAAATGAGGAAGCTGGATGATCACGCGATTAGCTCATCGAGTGTGCTGTCGAGAGAATGATGTTAGGGATGAACTGACTCTCGCACATGAGGGAAGGAATGCGGAGTTCTACCTCACTTCAACTATCGAAGAGAGACGGTGCCGCATATCCCAAGCTGAACAAGATAAGATGGACGGACACGTAATGCGGTTTGACGACAACCGCTGCATGAGAGCTAACAGGAGTACCACTAAACTCACACGCGAATGAAGAAGACCACCGACGCACTGGTCTATGTTCACGAAATTCTTTTATGAAGTCCTTCAGAGCGTTCCAGGTGTACCTGATGCGACACTGAAATGTAAGTCAACAACTGTCCGAGACGGGGACGAATGGAGGCATCACTGTTACACGCTTGTGCAACATGACGTTCAAAGGGGTTACAAGTGATACAGGTGGTTACATTAGCACACGGTATCCAGGTATGAATTGCATATTAATTACAGAGGTTACGTTACTGACAACGTTGACATACCTGCATTTTTCGGCTTTTGTCGATTCAACTTGTCCCAAAAACATTTTGTGAGAGATCGTGCACATACAACTTAATTGAAATCTTATATAGAAAGCTGAATGTTTGTCTGTATGTAAGTCTGTCTGTATGTACGTATGCTTCGAAGAGACAACCCGATCTCTTAATCGATACGGACCCTTGGCACACATATCGTCGACTCTAAAAATCGAGACGACGGTCTGCAGCGCGGCCAGTGCGCGCCGCACGGCACTGCCACCTAGTGATTCGCCCAAATTACGTGGAGAAGGTAAGTTCTTGTGGTTTTTCTTTTTCTTTTTGCATCTTTTTTGCTTGCAGGAACTTTCATGGCTACCGCAGGGAGCCTACACTGCAGAGAAGCAAGATTGCCCTACGATAAAGCGGCAGTGCCGTGCGGCGCGCACTGGCCGCACTGCAGACCGTCGTCACGATTTTTAGAGTCGACGATACATTTTGGGGCCGGGCGGGCGTCATAGGCTACTTTTCATCATCGATCAATATAGTTTTGGTCAATTTTTATCGATTTTTTGTAAAGTTTGACCTGCGAGGCTGGAAGTTTGTATAGAGGCGTAATCGAGCATGCTGATTACGAATATAATATTAGTTTATGAAGTTATCCATTACTTTTATCGATTTCAATGATTTTTTTGCAAAGTAAAACAGCGGGAATAGGGAAATGACAGGTAGACGTGGGCACCGGGAAAGGTTGTACAGAGATACGGATGAGAGTTTTATCATAGTTTTCAACAGAGCAGAATAGCTCTGTTGAAAACTATGATAAAACGAACAGAATAAGCCAGTTAGTATGCATATAAATTCGTGTAATCAGCAACTTGTGCAG